TCAAGCTCAGGATTTTGTGTTCAGAGCTAGCCTACAGGTGTCTTAAGGTGCAGGGACAAGGCTTTGCCAAACGCATTCATTTCGTCCCACACAACACTAAAAGAAAACCTTCCATGCAATCTGGCAAACCTCTTCGGGGCCAGAGTGACTAGAGTCCCAGTCCGATAGAAAGGGTTTAGGCTTTAGGCTTTAGGCTTTAGGCTTTAGGCTTTAGGCTTTAGGCTTTAGGGTTTAGGGTTTAGGGTTTAGGGTTTAGAAAGTCTAAGCCACCCGCATTGCGTCGTCCTCACGTGTCTTTGACGTGTCCAAGACGACGACGAGATTGTCCTGACATTAAGGCAGCATCCTGCACCCCCCCCCCCCCCCACCCACCCCAAACTAACTACCCTTCTAAAAAGGGGGCTTAATGTACCTACTGGTATGGTTAAAGGGTACTTGGGGGGTGCTGGTAGGGTTGAAGCGAGTTGAGGGGGTATGGAGTCCACCCCACATTGGTCAGGGCAGCGGAGGATGCCCCCCCGGCGCGACTCAACGGCGAAAGTGCAGGTAACCGGACTCCTGATCCCTGAAGGCCCATGTACCTACATGGTCTATACCTGGGCCTAAAGCTGCTATATGGGAACCCCTTAAAGGCCCACGTCTATACTAAATCCTTAGGGCTGGCTCCCAGACTGCAGCTTGGATACACAGGTGCTCCTCCACGTTCTGCGAAACCGGGACAGTAAGACTAAAACCCCTCACTCCCACAAATCTCGAGTTTGTTTCTTTTTGAGTACACTTACAACACTTGATTGGCATCTCTAACATGTGGGAATTCCATCATTTTGGGGGATTTGGGGCGAGGTTGTTCCCGAGGTCCCCGGGCTTGGCGACTGCGGGTCAGGAGATCTAAATACCCTATACTCTAAACACTAAGCATGCATCTAGACCCAGGATTAACCTAGGAACCAAAAGCGTACCCTTTTTGGTTTTAGAGGATTATAAGGGAAACCCAACCTAAAGAAAAGGAAATGAGGGCCCACTCCGGGTCCTAGGCATTCTCCCTTCACCCCCACAGCCCTCCTTAACCCGGTACGCTCTGCCTCAGGGCTTAGCTTGGGGTTAGAACTCTGAAACCTACACGCTGCACTTGCAGACCACTAGTTAAAGCAGAAAGTCCTGTTTCTTCAGGGTATGGGATGCGGTACATGGTAGGTTGCTCGCTAGGCCCTTTATGAGAGTACCTGTGACCCTTTCTTGCCTACTGCTTCAATCACATCTTGATCAATACGTATGGACCATCACAAGTCACTAGAATCCAAAGTACAGACCCTGAGACCTCGATGCTTTAAAACCAAGGCTCGGGGGCTAGAGGACACTTCAGGTTTTGGGGTTTAGGGTCTGTTGTGGTAGAAGCCCTGAAATTGTCAGATTCGCACCTCAGCGCCCGTCAGCAGCTTATTGCTGTCTGCTGGATGGAAACGCACGTGATTCACCACGTCGGTGTGGCTATCCTGGTGTGCCGAGTGGCCCATGGACCTACATAGCATGTGCGTGGCCCCCTAGCTACTATACGTATATACGCACATACATACTCGCACCCACCCTGAGCTAAACCCTACATAGGTATGACCCTTAAGGTGTTCATGTTGGAGGCTCTCAGATAGAGGGCTTCGGAAGTGTTGGGGTTGTCCCTGAAAATTTGAAGTTGCTTTACGCACCATAGTTTGCCCTACTTGCAACTAAGCACAGGCCCACAAGCCCTACCCAGAACCTGCACCAAACCCTCCAAACCCTACCAATATCAACCCATACACCTACAAGGCCCTACTAACTACCCATAAATCTAAGGTTGGAACCATGGGCCCTTAGTATGGTCCCTTACCCTTGTTTATTGAGATCCGAAGTATGAGTCCTTACTATGTTATGTAGAGTGTATATAGGGGCTATATATACCAAGGGACCCAAATTAAGGGTCAATTCTAGGAACCCGAGAATAAACCTTCAAGCAGCTGCAGGGCTGCTAGTCCTTGAAGACTCGCGTCTGCTTGCCCTGCCCGACGTCAAAGAGGTACACCTCCCAGGTTTGGTTTAGATTCTGTAGGGTTCTAAAGGTTAAAGGGTTTTTGGGGGTCTTAGGGTTTAAGGGTTGTTGGGTTGAAGGAATGAACGGTTTCCCTAAACACTAAACGCTGAACCTCTGAACCCCAAGCCCTAAACCCTAAACCCTAAACCCTAAACTCTAAGCCCTAAGCCCTAAGCCCTAATCCCTAAACCCTAAACACTAGAACCTCTGAACTCTGAACTCTAAAGCTAAACTAGCCCTGCAGCAGCCGTTCGAAGTGCCAAGGGCCAGGGGAGCTCGTGGAGCTTCCAGGTTTAGGGTTTAGGGTTTAGGGTTCCATAGCTACAGGGCTTCGGAGGTAGGGTGATGATGCCCTAAGAACGCCAAGGGTCCCAACTGAAGCTCTGGGTGTTCTCATGGGAGCCTTTATGCTCCCAAGCCTAATTACATGTATTAATCCAACCAATTGGTTTAGCCATATTAAATAAACTAATGATATACAATCTGCCCTTTTCAAAGGATACTATGATCTTTAGTTTTTATTCTTGAACCCTGCACCCCAAGCATTACAACCCTTACGGGCGCTAGAAAGTGCCGCCGGCGTAGCCCTCTCATATAGGGGCCGACCTAAGTTGTTTAGGGTTTAAGGTTTTGGGTGTAGCCCTAAACCCTAAACCCTAGCTTCAGGTTGTTTTGGGTTTAAGGGATTTCATATTGGCATTGTAAGGGGAAATCTGGATCATTTGCCAACCTGCACCAGGGAGGCCCCTCACAACAACCCCCTAAAGCCAAGGCACGGGCGTAGGGTTTAGGGTTTAGGGTTTAGGGTTTAGGGTTTAGGCTTTAGGCTTTAGGGTTTAGGGTTTGTTACACCCAAAACCCTAAACCGGCTGATGGTCGGAAGGGTCCCGAAGCCCTCCCAACGAAAGGGTCCGAGGATGAGCCCTGGCGCGCTTCGCTCGAGCAACAACCCTGGGGTTTAGGGCTTAGGGTTTAGGGTTTGGGGTTTAGGGTTTATAGGGTTTAGGGTTGGGGGTTTAGCTTCCAACTAGGGTCGTAGGCTACTTTAACTGGCTATGAGCATAGGTACCCCTGCTTGAGGACCTAGCTGCAACTACCGCATGAACCTTCCAGGCCCCAGAAACCCCACCCTGCCACCCTCTCCACCCATGTTAAGGATCCGCCTTGCGCTTGAGTAGCGTTTATGGGGCCCTTTTGCTTACGTTTTGAGGGAAGGGGTTCATGATTTACTGCAAGTTTCAAATGTGAAACATGGCGCTGGCGTTCTGGCGCCCTTGCACCTCTGGATTCTAGAAGGTCGCGCAGCCTTCGTGCCTAAGCGCACAAAAGATCTCCAGAGGCCATTCACCCTGAAACGAACGCTGTGCACTTATGCTCCAGGGTTTTGAGGGTTTGGGGTCTGCAAACCTTCCCACCCCCCCGCACATGCTAGAACCAGCATGTGCGGAAGCACATTGGTTGTTTGGTTGGAGCATTGAAGCCCAGTCGCGCACGATGGACATTTCTGCTGTCGCAAGTTTGTGTTTTTCTCATTCAGCCAGCACGTGTCCACGAACGCGATGTTATCCAGCAACGGGTATGGATGTGCATTCCTTCGGCCATGCACACGGATCTCGAAGGGAGACGAGGAGATGGAGCCCGAACCCTAAACCCTATAAACCCTAAACCCTACACCCTAAACCCCTATAAACTCAAAACCCTAAACCCTAAACCCGGCCTTCTCCGAAGCCGCGCACGCCAGCGCGGCGTCGCGGCAACCGATCGAGCAGCTATAGACCTGGCTCGGCTTCGAGGTTTACGGCGTTTTCGGGCTTAGGGCTTAGGGTTTAGGGTCTAGGGTCTAGGGTTTAGGGTTTAGCGATTAGGGTTTGGGGTTTGGGGTTTGGGGTTTGGGGTTTACAGTTTTTGGGGGTTTAGGGTGTAGGGTTTAGGGTTGTATATGGGGGGTTTCCGAAATTAGGGGTACCTTATTGGGGTCCTTAATTTAAGGGCTCAAGATGCATGAGGGTTTTCCGAAATTAGGGGTACCTTATTGGGGTCCTTAATTTACGGGAATCCTACTATTCGGGGGGTCTATATGATATTCGGGGTCCCATGTTTTCGGGCTTTAGACCTTCTCAAGTAGCGGGCTGCAATGAGTTTACCTTAAGTAACATGCCGATGAATGCTGAAGCCTTTCCAGCCCCCTCCCCCCACTCAAGTCCTGGACAGTTGTTGGTTTAAAAGGTTGGCGGGTTTTGGGTCGCAGGCCGGATAATCCTGCAAACCAAATAAAGCTCGCAGAGAAAAGGCACGCAGGCGCGTCTTCCACGGACTTCTCTTTTCTCACGTGTCGAAGCTCAACGCCTGGTCCAAGAGCTTGCGGACCTGTCCAGAGCGGCAATGGGCGAGAATGTCGAAACGAAACTTATAAGGTATCTCTCCATGTATCTCCCACGTCCTATATAAGGTTCCATGTACCCATGTAGCATATAGTTCGGCGCTGAACCTACGTTGGAACTCATTTAAGGCCAAGTCAAAGTATATCCTATGCAGGTACATGGGGCCTTACGGGCACATACCCAAGCGATCACATACATTCATGCAAGCTGCACTTGAAACGTGTTCACTCTCTTTTTGCAGTGGTGAGAACTGAAGCTTTGCCGGAGCAATCGGACCGGAAATTAAGCTGGAAGCTTTAAACAGTCCGCACGCGCAAGTACCGCAAGACAGCGCTGTGGCTGCCTGCAGCAGCCTACAAGAGGCATGCCAAGGCATCAGACCAAAGCCTAGGCTGCCCAGTAACCAAGGCTTAAAAAGGGTGCCCTTTTTTGCTTAAAGGGGTTGATAAGGGAACCTAAAGCCCACCAAAAAAGGGAATGAGGGTACTACTGGGCATCCTAGAAGCTGTTGAAAACCCTAGAAGCCTGTCACAGCCGCAGGAGACCTGATAAGGTCAGACTGCCAAGCTGCGACCCACCTGCGGTCCAGGGTTTAGGGTTTAGGGTTTAGGGTTTAGGGTTTAGGGTTTAGGGTTTAGGGTTTAGGGTTTAGGGTTTAGGGTTTAGGGTTTTCACTAAACCTTGTGAGCCCTAAGGCCCTTGGGGGTCATGGTTTCTGGAGGCTTGGGGGGCTTTGGGGTTACAGTTGGTTGATTGGTTCAGGAGCGCCTATATAATATGAGTATCAATTTCAATAAAGGGGGCACGGATTGAGCGTTTGCCCGCAGTAGGGGTCAGGGCTATAGAATTTACAGCGAAGTTCACGTTGCAGGGCCCGCGTTCAACTCGTAAACTTATCAGGGTCGGTATGACTCTTCCCACGACATTTCACTGGCTGCAGGGTGCAGGGGTTGCGGGCTTTCGGCTTCGTTTCGAAGTGCCCAAGGCCCAAAAGCGAGAGCAAGAGCAAAGCTTGGGATTCGGGGTTTCTGTGGGGTTCGGCTTGAAGGAGTAGAGTTTCAGGGTTTAGGGTTTAGGGTTTAGGGTCTAGGGTCTAGGGTCTAGGGTCTAGGGTCTAGTGTCTAGGGTGCACAAACCCCCCAAAATCATGCTCACCTCTATCTTGAAGTCTCGCCCGGCAGCTGCCAGCGCCTCTGCGAAAGGGGCGACTACAGCTACTGATTCGCGCCCTGAAGCGCTGACCAAGATCTTGACCCTAAACTCCAAGCCCCGGGTTTAGGGTTTGGGGTTAGGGTTCATCAAAGCCCGAAATCCCAAACTACAAAGCCAAGCAACCAAACCCTGAATTCTCCATGGGTTCAGGAAGCCTAGCTGGCCCAGTTGAACCCCTTCGTTGCACTATTGTCACCCCAGCTTGCGAAGCCACTGCCTGATGTCCCGGCCCTTAGACCTAAACCCAGAACCCCCAAGCCCAAAACCCCAAACCCCAAACCCCAAACCCTAAACCCTAAACCCTAAACAAGCACTTTACAAGCTTTTGTGCCCATGGGGCTCACAGTCGGGCTTAGGGTTTAGAGCTTGGGTTTTTGGAGCTCTAGGGGTTTGAGGGTTCTGGAGTTTAAGGTTTTTAGGCGTTTGGGGCTTAGATTTTGGAGCCTTCCTGGCTTGAGGGCTTTAAGGATTCCAAGGGGTTTAGGGTTTAGGGCTAGGGTTTATGGCTTAGGGTTTAGGGTTTAGGGCTTGTGGTTTAGGGCTTAGGGTCTTAGGGCTTTAGGGTAGGTGCCTATGGATCTCGGCGCCTAAGGTGCCTCCATGAGCGGAGGTTAGAGATCAGCAAGTTACGCTCTGAGGACTTAAAGGGTTTCTGGGAAATGTTCTAGGGGTGAAGGTTGTGGGGCTTTTACTAGGGCTTACGAAGACGAAGCCCGAATTTCCCCAACTTGTGTTCTAGATGTTTTGAAGTTGGAGCACGAGACTTGGCGCCCGTGATTAGGGCGCGGGACTCAATTTTGGATCGTAACGTAGGCGGAGAAAGAGGCCCTAAATGCCTCAAACCACAAAACCGAAAAAATGTTTTCTTTCATGGGGGGGTTTTCAAACGGGAAGCTACCCTTGGAGCAAGAAGGACAGGAGAGTGCCTAAACCCTAAACCCTAAGCCCTAAACCCTAAACCCTAAACCCTAAACCCTGAACCCTGAACCCTAAACCCTAAGCCCTGAACCGGGAAAATTGCAGAGAAATGGTCTGGCCTCTGCTCTGGAGTCGGCGAGCCGCACGCTGTTGGAAAACAAGAGGGCCTGGAGCACGAAAACATCTTGCCCAGAGGGTCCGAGGGTTTGGGGCTTAGGGTTTAGGGTTTGGGGTTTGGGGTTTAGGGCGTTTGTGGTACTATTATGTCCTTAGGTACGAAAAACGCTATTCAGTATGGTTTTTGGATACAGTACCAAATTCCCTACCAGTACTACAAACGGACCCTCTATCTTGGTCAGGGTCTAGGGCTCGCAAGGGTTCATAAGGCCTAGGGTTTAGGGCTTAGGGTTTAGGTTTTAGGATTTCGGGTTTCGGTTTTGGAGGCTTCTAGGGTTTAGGGTCCTATGTTTTTGGGTTTAGGGTTTAGGGTTTAGCCCTATATCACACCCACGCACCGGGATTCGGGATGGAGTTGGCCCAGCCAACCCTAAACCCCCTAAACCCCCTCAACCCTAAACTCAAACCCTAAACCCTAAACCGAAACCCAACTCCCGAAGCCCCGAAACCAGCCAATTCCTGAACTCTGAGAATGCGAAACCCACAACCCCAAATCCCTAAACTCTTGAACCGCTTGGCCTCCCCTAACTCCCCCCCCCCCCCCCCCCCCCCCCCCAAAAAAAAAAAAAACTTCCCTTAAACCCCACCAACCACCTTACACTTCCCTAAGCCCCGAACCCTAAACCGTCGCCACCCCCAAACCCTAAGCTTCCAGAAGCCCTCCCAAATGGGGTTTACGATATTAGGGAGGTCCTGATTACAAGGACTCCTGCCATTTTGGGGTTTCTACTTGGGGTCCTTTTATTTTCGTAAACTTATTGGGATCCTTATCATAAGGGAATCCCACTATTTTGGGGTTCATATTTAGGGTCCCTTAGTTTCGTACACTCCCATAAATTCGCAGCTCTTCGTAGCGCCAGCCCAAGCGTCGATGGCAGAGCCGCCCCGGGCGAAGGCCCCCAAGCGCTGGCCCTTCTTGACACTCACCCCGGCCTCGTGCTAAACAATTCGACTCGGCTTTCGGGGGCTGATGATCGTGTAATTACATAGGCCGTAGAGGAATAATACGACTAGCCGGGTTTTGGGGGGTTTAGTGTTTAGGGCTTCGGGTGTTTGGGGCAGTTTAGGGGTCGAAGAGGTGAGAACGGGGCTTAGTATGGGTTTAGGGTTTGGGGTTTTGGGTTTAGGGTATTCTTGAAGATTCTGAAGCACCCTCAAGCTCTAAGGGTAGTTTCATGGTCCCTTAGTGTGGGCCCTTACACCCGGACCGCGTAAAAACCCTATACAACCCCAGTGCCCTTACATCAGAACCCCTCTAAAGGAGGTAAGGGACCATACTAAGGGCCCATGCAACTAACCTTAGACAAGCCGAAACTCCAAAACACTAAGCCTCAGAAGGGAGTTAGTAGGCTTCAGGTTGGTTTAGGAAGTGTCTGGCATCTTTACAACCCTGAGCCCTTTTGGGGCATTGAAGGAATTGAGGGTTTCGAGGAGGAGGATAGTGACCGCTTGGGGATAGGTGATGTAGGTTCTGCATGGGGGAACACCCAAGAGCGGCAACTCCTTGCAGCCCTTACAACAGAAAAGACAGAGTTTGCTGAAGATATATAGTGGTGCACATGATATTACTTAGAGGGGAACTCATTTAGAGACTCTACCATATGTGAGGCTGTTCCTTCAGAGCATCATCTCTGAAAAGTGCAAGTTGGTCTGCTCACGGTTTCGCAAGAATGCCAACTTCACGTGAAGAGTGTAGGCGAGGGAGGGCGCACCGGCATACAAAACCACGAAACATAAACTCCAATGCTTGACGGTTCTCGTAGAATCCTTTCAACGAACTTGATGGTTCTTCGACTGTGGCTGAGATGGCGCCTCATGATTCTTCAGGTATAACGAACAAAAAAGAACCAAACAGTCATGTCCAAAGCCGGTCTCTCTTCTGCGACACCCCTAAACCCTGAATCCTAAACCCCCGAATCGGCATCTCATCTGCTGGGTGAGAGGCGCGCAGGTTCGGCTCCAAACGGATCGAATCCACGGTGACCCCCCCTGCAGAACCATGGCTCAACACTTCTTATTCTGGGGTCCTTGCTCAGGGGAACCAGTAGAATCCAGGGTTCCCCTGTAACCTAGGAGATGCGAAGCGTGAGGGCTTGGGGTTTAGGACGCCCAAAAGCGCATGGATAATATCCTTGTTTCGATGAGGTCCAGATCGCGCAGGTAGGCCACATTCCCTGCCACCCATGGCGGATGACTTAGTGCGCTGAAGGGCTTTAGGGTTGAGCGCCGGTTTGAGGCCCACACTGCTGCTGAAGGCTCTGCGGAGCGCATCCAGGGCTGCCTGCTCGCAGAACATCAGCAGCCGAGCAGCAGAGCCTTGCCAGGCGGCGTTGTCCGTCCGGGGTCGCCGATCTCCCAGCCGGAGTCCGCAAAGGCCGCTATGTAGCCGAGGAGCTTAGGGCCTGATCGGGCCGCACGCCGCTCCATGTAGCGCTTGAGTTTAGGGTTTAGGGTTGGGGGACTTAAAACGGGCCAGGGTTTAGGGTTTAGGGTTTGGGGTTAGGGGTTTAGGGGTTCATATAGAGATTGTTATTTTACATGTCTTCATTTTTTCTTAAGCAAATAGTAGACTACTGCTTCTCAAGGTAGAAGGGTCTTCCAGCTATGTAAGTAGGTCAGCAAGTGGTAGCTAAACTTAAGGGGTGGCGAACCCTAAGCCCAAAGCCCTAAACCCTAAGCTGTACGCCCTAAGCCCTCAACCCCAAGCCCCAGACCCTTACCCCAGCCCACAGACAGGATGCGGGTTCTGAACCAGGGGGGTCTTATACCCTGAACCACACCGTTTCGAGATGTAGGGCTTGAGGGTTGAAGGGCTTGAGGGTTGAAGGGAGCTTAAGAGATCAGGGGTTAAGGGTTTTCAGGGGTGTAAGGGGCTTAAAAGGGGGTCTAAGGGCGTTTGGGAGTCTAAGGGGTTGGGTTTAAGGAGATGAGTTTCAGGGCTTTCGGGGGCTTAAGGGAGGGGGCCCCCGGGGTGGTCAGGTAGCCCCAGTAGTCCCCCTTGTTTGGCCACGAAAGGTTCGCCAAACTTACTTACTTACTCGAAGCCACGCCTCCTTTAGGGTTTAGGGTTTAGGGTTTAGGGTTTAGAGGGTTTAGGGTTTAGGGTTTAGGGTTTAGGGTTCAGGGTTCAGGGTTTAGGGTTTAGGCTTTAGGGTTTAAATGTGGAGGTTGTAGGAACCGTTTTTTTAAGCCAACATTGCCAGTTGCTAGATAGCTTGCAGGGGAGCGCTTCATTGCTCTTTTGCCAATGATGACCGAGCCCTGCTTAGAATCGGGAGGGGGGGGGGGGGGGTTCACACCCTAAACTCTAAACCCTAAACCCTAAACCCTAAACCCTAAACCCTAAACCCTAAACCCTAAACCCTAAACCCTACCGAAACTGAAACCCGAAACCCGAAACCCGAAACCCGACACCTTGGTAGCTGACGAACACTCCCTGAGTCCACACCCTCAGACCCCCATGAAGCAGACGTCTTCAATGAGTTTGTGCCAGAAACTTTACAGGTTTCTAAGCCCCAAAGGATCCATGTACCTAACTATTATATACTTGGGCCTTAAAGCACCTCCAAGACAGGGACCCTAGGGCCCAAGCATATACTAATGAGGTACTTGGACCCTTGGGGAAGGTTAAGAACGCAGGCTTCCAATTTTTGCTTAGGGTTGTTACATGGTCCCTTTATATGGGCCCATAAAAATGGACCCCCTTATTTAGGGTTTAAGGCTTAGGGTTTAGGGTTTAGGGTTTAGGGTTTAGGGTTTAGGGATTTAGGGATTAGGGTTTATATACCCCAGACAAATCAAGGGCCCATACTTCAGAAACGTTTAAGGAGGGAAGGGCCCATGTTCAGGGCCCATGAAACTCCACTAGTTCGAAGCAGATTGAGAACCCCTCACCCCCGAAACCCTAAACCCTAAACCTAAACCCTAAAACCTAAACCTAAAGCTTCCAAACTTGTGAGCCAAGTACACCCCTGGCCTACGATGACCACTGCCACTCGCAGACCGGGCCGCGAATCCTGAGAGGGTCTCCGTGGCTTAGGGTTAGGGTTTAGGGTTTAGGGTGCAGGGTTTAGGGTTAGGGTTTAGGTTTAGAGAGTTTAGGGTTTAGGGTTTAGGGTCTGGGGTCTGGGGTTTATGGTTCAGGGTTTAGGGTTGCTGAACAAGATCCCGTGAAACTAAAGTCAGAGCTGTTGGGGTCCAGGAATTGTCGGCCTTAGGACTGGGGTTGAGGGTCCGGGTTTCAAGGTGTCAAGGTTCTTCATTACACTCTGAACTTCTCATCTCTTAGCCGTTGAGCACGATGCTTCCTGCAGGAATTCACGGACTATCCACCCCCCCAACCATGGAAAGTTTAAACCAACCCCCCACCCTAACGCAGTGATTCCCAGCCTCTGTAACCCCAGCATTGACAAACCTGAAAGTTTGAACAATAGCTAGGCGCCTTAAGGGCCTAAGGTCTGTAACAGCCAGTCTAATTTCAGGTCTAAGCTCCACAGTTCACCTGCAACCCTCTACCCAAATTGGACTACTGGGAGGTTCATGGGTAGTTACAAGTAGGGCTGTAATTATGGCAACTGAAATGAGAGCCTCATCTAGGGTACTTATAACCCCACTTCTAACTACCCATAAACCTCCCAGTGGATCAGTCCGGGCCGCACTTTCGATCACCGCCACTGCCCTCCGATTACGCGTGAGGATGTTGACGGAAGAAAAGATGTAGGGCTTCACCTTTCCACACACACGTCCGACATCCCGGGTGCACCCTGGTGGTTTCTGAAATTGGGGGGCGGGGGGGGGGGGGAGGGGTTGCCTTTTTGGAGTCCCTTTAAAACGGGAATCCTAGCTTTTTGGGGGGGGTCCCCATTGAGGCCTTCGGAACTTCTTTTCGAAAGGTAGCCGGTTGGAGGGGCCGATGGGGGGGGTGAAGTGGGGGTTCAGGGATTCGGGCTTGTGGGTTTAAGGGTCAGGGCTGCTGGCTGCTTGCCCTAAACCCTAAACCCTAAACCCTAAACCCCAAACCCTAAACCCTAATTAAACCCTAAACCCTACCAGCCCGACCCTAGTGGGCAATCAGCGCCCCAAAATGGCCGGCCAGGGGCCGGCCTAATGACCCCCCAATTCGGGACGGGGATAGGCTCGGAGGTACCGCCCACCAGCCCGACCCTAAACCCTAGACCCTAGACCCTGATCCTAAACCCTAAACCCTTCCACCCTGTAGAAGCACTGGAGGGATGTACTGAACCGCGAACCTGCGATGTAGGGGGCGGTGTGGCGCTTAGGGGTTTAGGGTTTAGGGGTTTAGGGGTTTAGGGGTTTAGGGGTTTAGGGGTTTAGGGGTTTAGGGGTTTAGGGGTTTAGGGTTTAGGGGTTTAGGGTTTCGGGTTCAGGGTTTAGGGGTGCTGTTCTGATGGTGAACTTTTGGGTCTTAAGGGCTCTCAGGGGTTCTTGAGGTTTAGGGGTCTTTGGTTTTACTGAGAAGCTGTAGGGTTGAGACCCCGTGTTTCAACCACCAACCCTGAAACCTAAACCCTAAATCCAAAACCCAAAACCCTAACCCTAAACCCCAAACCCTAAACTCAAACCGAAACTCTCAAACCGTCATGCCCTCAAATCGACCAGCCCGAATTCCCTCGAGTAAACCACAAGCGAGGACCAGCCCGTGGAGCAGCTTGGGGTTTAGGGTTTACGGTTTAGGGCTTAGGGTTTAGGGTTTCGGGTTAGGGTTTAGGGTTTAGGGTTGAGGGCTAGGGTTTAGGGTTTAGGGGCTGTCCTTGAGCTTGCCACTACGCCGAGGCTTTTTTCGTGGTGACACTCTAGCCTGCTTCGAGGGTTTGAAGGGCAGACACGTCTTGCCTAAACCCTAAACCCTAAACCCTAAACCCTAAACCCTAAACCCTAAACCCTGAACCCCAAACCCTAAACCCCGAAAAAGGCTTCTGGATCTGGGTGCTTAGGCAAGACAATATTGGGGACAAGGGGTTGAGGATGAGGGGTTCAGGCGGGAGGGAATAATTGCGAATACTATTCCCTCATGGTTCTTTGCAACTTTACTATAACAAACCCAAAACCCTGTTCTAACTATTCACACCCCTATATTACGTTGCGGGCCAAGCTGCTGTGATACTGTAGCGATGCTGATCCAGTAGCGCCAGCGACAAGAGCTTGCCGGCCTCTGCATGCCAATTCTCTCCTAAAGCCCTCAAACTCTTTCCGAAACGAAACCCTAAACCCTAAACCCTAAATCCTAAACCCTAAACCCTAAACCCCTAAACCCTAAACCCTAAATGCTAAACCCTAAACCCTACACCCTAAACCCTGAGCCCTAAAACCCTAAACCCTAAGCCCCCCATGTATGATACGGGGCCCGTACATGTAGGGGTCACAGATCACGGCAGGCGCCGTATGGTCTAGACTTTAGGCAAGCCTCAAGCAACCTCGACTCCTCCGATACAGTTTAAACTTTGCTATCTATCTTAATTTATATATGTATATACATGTATTCATTTTTGTTTATACGGTCTAGAACACGTATATGACATTGTTGACAGGTGTACACTAATACACTCCATCTGGGATTCCATCTCCCTCTTTATGGCAGGGTGGTGTGTGAGGCCGTTAGCCTCGATGGTGGTCCATTTAGGGTGTAGGGTTCAGGGTGAGCGTTGAGAGTTCGGTCTTGAAGTCTCAACTGTAGTTCTGATCGTGGTATTAGGAGTACGTAATACACAGTATCAAAGAGCAGAGCTACTTGTGCTTCACGGGTTTAGTTCAGGTTGCTGCTTGTTTCAAGCGCGCTCGAGTTTGTATAGGGTTGAGCGGAAGGTCTTAGGTGTTCTAGGGTTCAGTGATCAAAGGGCTGTGGTTTTGCGTTCCATGCCTGGGGAACGGGATGTGCAATAGGATTGAAGTTCGGACTGTGGACCTCCAAAGAGTTCATTGTTTCCAGACTTCGAAATGCTTAAAATTCCCCCAGCTTCCTTATAAGGGCAGTATAAGGATTATTATTCTTCATGTTTGGGGAATTCTTAAGCAAACAGTAGCAGAAGAGAGCCAAAGGCCCCAAAACCTGAAACCCGAACCCGGAAGCCCCAAGTAGCCCACTATAGGGGCCTTGATACTTGCAATAGGCTTTGTGTTTTTGGAGGGGGTTCGTATAGTATATTTATAAAGGAACCATCAGGGAATACTATTAGCAATGATTAGCCCCAAACCCTAAACCCTAAACCCCTATATTAGTGCCAAGCAGCGATGGGCGCGTGGTAGCAATGGTAGTCCGCTGGGGCTAGGTACATCATTGCTGCCTCAGGTTTCCGGGTTTACCGGGTTCAGGGTGGCCCTAAACCCTAGACCCTAAACCCTAAACCCTAAACCCGAAACCCTAAACCCTAAACCCTAAACCCTAAACCCCTAACACCTTAAGCCTAGACTCCATGTTGGAAGGGAGCCTCCTAACACTCGCCATCGGGGTCCAGGGGGAAACCGTCCCACGAGGGCTGCTTCATCGCTTAGGGCCTTTGAGTCGAGGAGTTGGGGGTGTAAGAAACCCTAACCCCTAAACACCCTACACCCTAAACCCTAAACCCTAAACCCTAAACCCTAAACCAGGTGATTTGCAGCACACTGCCCAGAAATTGAGGCAACGTAGGTGTTTTCAGAAGGACACGAATCGTGTCTGAGAGCAGCTCCATGGCATCGAGTGCAGAAGATCTTGTCCCCTCTAAAGCCAAATTTCGGACACCCAAGGTACCCTCAAACGCAGGTCCCTTGCGGGCGTAGTACGACAAACTCCACCAAGAAAACCAATCAGGAACTACTAGATTCGAGACGTGCTCTTCTGGTGCAGAGAAGCCTAGACTTTAGGGTTTAGGGCCTAGTAATCCACGGGCCTGAGGACCAAGTCAACAGCCGGAATTGCGGAGCGGGATGCTGGATGACTCCTGTACTCCTGCGCATCTGGAAGGCCAACATCGTCCAAGCGCCACGCATCGTTCTTCAGAACCTGCGAACGCTTCTCGAGGCACAATTTATGGCACTTCCAAGAAATATAGCCAGCTAAACTCAGGATGGCCTCCGGAACCTCTACAGAACAACTTGACCCTTCGTGCCGGGACTTGGTGAATCCGAAGGGATCCTTGAGGCCCTAAGGGGTCCAGGGCAGGAGGGTTACATGTATCTCGGAACCCATTCCTTGTGGGTGCAAGAGCAGGTTTAGGGTTTAGGATTGAATCGACACATATGCGGCCGATTTGGCCCCAAACCCCAAACCTTAAAGCACCCTCAACCCTAAACCCTATAAACCCTAAAAGCTCTAAACCCTATAAACACCCCATGAAATCCTTGTAAGCCCAAAACCCTAAACCCGAAATAAACTTGAATCTGGTTTGGAAACCCTGATGGTGCTGCCTTTGGCATGGCGTCCGCTGAATCCTCGGCACTTGCCAGCCAAACCCTAAACCCTAAACCCTAAACCCTAAACCCTAAACCCTAAACCCTAAACCCTAAACCCTAAACCCTAAACCCTAAACCCTAAACCCTAAAATAAACCCCAACCCCTACACCCTAAAAAGCCTCAACCCTATAACTATACACCCTAAACTGGCCCTAACCCCGCTACGCTCAGTTCTTTGGTTGCTGATGGCTCCAAAAGCCCAGGCTTCTCAGATTTCTTAGTTTTATGTAACATGTTTGTGCCTGAGGCACTGCTTGTTTTTCCTTATTTTTGGGTGTGACATAGGGTTAGTTTTAGGGTTTAAGGGCTTCTGAGGAAACCCACACCCCAAGAAAAGGGGAATAAGGGCATAGCCGGGGTCCTAGAACCAGACGGCACCGTGCCCCAAGAGGAGCCCGAAAAGGGTACCCTAAACCCTAAACCCTAAACCCTAAACCCTAAACCCTAAGCCCTAAGCCCTAAAGCCTAAACCAACAATCTCCAGGCGTCGAACCACGTGACCACAGCTGTGGCCGGAGCGACGACGAGGCTGTCGCCCAAATTCTGCTCCGGAGCCTGGGATAATAGAGGGGCCTTCATAATTCGAATAGGGTTTAGGGTTTAGGGTTTAGGGTTTAGGGTTTAGGGTTTAGGGTTTAGGGTTTAGAGTCCGCCGACCCTGGCGGCGAGTTGGATGGGAAAAGGACGTGAAAACTCCTTTACCCCCCAAAATGCGGGGGGGGGGGGGGGGGGTAGGTATGGGTAGGGGGGGGATCCCCGGAAGCTTTTTCCGTGGAGGAACGGCCACCACCACCGCGGTGGTAGTAAAAATCATGGACCATAGGCGGTTTTTTCGCAACGGGCATGGGGCCTCTGTTTGGACTTCCCCCCCCCCCCCCCACTCTACCCCAAACCCCCCCCCCCCCCCCCCACCCCCACCCCCACCCCACCCCCCCCCCCAACCCCCCCCCCTCCCCATTTGGCCCCCCAACCACCCACCCCCCCCCCACCCCCCCAAAACAGGAACCGCAAACAAAATCACCAAACTCCTGCGGGGTCGGCGGCTTGAGCCGGAGGCTCTTAAATCCGGCCCCCGCGCCGCCCGTGGTCCAGGGCGGAGCCCGCGTCGCACTAAAGCGCTAGCTTTAAGGGGCGAGCGCCCGAGCCGCCGACCCCGCCCAAAATTGCTTCAAATTCGCGCGGGGCCTTTCGGGAGGCCTCCGAAACGGCATCCAAGGGGACGCAACACGCGGTGGTGCGAAAAGCACGAAAACCTCGTAAAAACCATGGGTTTTTACAAAAAACCGAGGCCACAAAACACCCGCAGCACCCCATTAAACCCTCACGGGCGCGCATCATTGACCCTAGCTTTTCACATGGGGCGCGCGCCAGGCCGAAACCATGTTTTTCAAGGTTTGGGGGGGGTACCGGAAGCCCAAAACCAGGCGAGCATCATGAGCATCAGCAGCCCTGGCCCGCGGACCCAGGGCAAGAAAAAACGCTGAAAAACGCTGAAATCACCGTAAATACCGTGTTTTATGAGGGTTTTCACGCGTGCCTCCGACCCCCACCCTTGTTGCCCTTGACCCGCCCCCAAAGTGCGCATCATCGAAACCCACGTCGGGGGGGGGGTCTGCTGATGCTGCTGATGCGCGGGGGTCCGGGGCATCATCGAGCCATCGTTTCTCATGTGGGCTTCGTGGGCCTCCGGGCCCACGGCCCAGAGACCCAGCTGATGCTCATGATGCTCGGTTTGGGGGGTGTTCCAACAGCAGAAAACCTCGTAAATACCGAGTGTTTTGTGGGTCCACGTAAAAACGCCCCTAAAATCGCTCATTTTACGCGCTCGAACGGCTTCGTGCCTACAAAACACCCTAACAGCAGGACCCCGAATGCCCTTAAGGGCATTCGGGGTCTTGCTTTTGGGGGTTTCGTGGGCACGCAAGCGTTCAAGCACATACAATCGGCGTGTTTAAGGGGGTTTTGGATGGGCTGGGGGAGGCCGCTGATGCTCATGATGCTCCCTTTCCTGGGTCCCAAAAGGCTTCCCAAGCCCAAAAACACGTGTTTACAGCGTTTTCTGAAGGTTTTTCGAAGGCAAAACGCATGCATAGAATGCTTTTAAGGCCCCCAAACCAACCCCACTGATGCTCCTGATGCCGCGCGCGCGCGCGCGCGCGCAGGGGGGCGGGGGGGGGGGGGGGGGGGGGGGGGGGGGGGGGGGGGGGGGTGGCGGAGGCATGAGAAAGAGAGACAGAGAGAAGGAGAGGACAAAGACACGGGAAAGAGAAGACAGTGCCAAGGTTCAAGGTTTCGTGCTTTGGGGGGCGGGGGCCCGGCCCGTGCCGCTAGGCCTGAAATAATGAGAAATCGAATAGGGCTTTGGGGGATATTCATCGCATAGTTATCCAGGGACTAGTATGTTTACGAATGTTGAACTGAGTTGTGCTTTAAACCCTTTGAAAATTGCATATGATTAGGTTCCCTTATAAGGTAAGAAGGGAAAGTAAAAATAATCCCGAAGCACAACCCAGTGAAATCAGAGTGCTCCACATGCCTTGAATCTTCGGTCTGAATCTCGCCGTGCCGCCGAAAATAAAGTTGGCATCTACGTGCATCTTCTCGATCTTCCGCCACCTCCACCAAGGCAAGCTTAGATCCTGCAGACTGCCCCAAGGGTCAAAAGCGAGCGAGATCGCAAGATGCCTTCGATGTTTAACTTAGCAAGGGGCCCGAGTCCTGCGTTTCCTCTTGGGGAGGGATTGCGCGAGCTTGCGCTGATCGCAGGGGTCTCTGCACAGCTGTCTTTCTCCAACGAGTTGCTAGACAACTGCAACTTTTAGATTGTCACAAACCATCATCGCGTCATTATGGATTTAAATAACACATGATGAGACTATTAGAAGATTATAAAGTTATATTACTATATTATAAGATCTGTTTGCCACTATATTGTTACATTACCGTGCTATCATATCTGCCTACTTCGCGGCTGCGGCACAGCCTTCAAGGGCTTTGCACAGTGGCAGAACTGGACCGTTGAGTGCAAGATGTTGCAGGCAGCTTCATGACACTTGTCAGAAGCGGAATCCACCCTGGGGAACGAAGTGCAATGAACGGACTTGAGGGTTACCTCTTAACACACAGTACAGAAAACATCCCTTGCCAATTCGCGGACTTCCTTCGTAGCAAGCACGCTCCCCAATCCCGGTCCTCCAGTCTTAGGTTCCTTGGCTGTTGGAGCCTAACCCCAGCATCGAAGATGAGTACTACAGACACGCCTGGCATACCCTGTGTGCTTGAAGCTGCGCAAGCTTTCCGAGTCTTATTGTTGCCAATGGATCCAGGACCTCTTGGCAGATGCCGTCTTGCTTTACACATGCACCTTCCCCAGCTACAATCGGATTACTGAGTATGACCACTGCTGCCAGGAAGCAGACGGTCTCCACCAACGACCCTACACCCATGAACCCTTCCTAGTCTCGCCACTCGCCGAGTCTGTTTTCACCGAGGGTCCAGCCAGCTTGCGGGCAGCGCCAGGCTGGATCAGACCCGTGCAATCGAGCCACGTAGCCCGGCACGCAGCCTTCACGCTGAGGCACCTTTCAGAAGATGAGTCGATGTTGAAACCCAGTTGGGGTCTGGGGGGGGTTCTAGGGTGCCATCTTTTGGCGGGAGCCCTGCGCACGGGCGCAGGCCTTGGGGTGAAAGACGGTGTGCTGTGGGGACAGGGGTGCCCTTGCAGCATGAAGTGGATGTTAGGTTACCCACAAATCATTCCTGTCACCTCTGCTCTGCTTCCAAACTCCTTTAAGCTGGGCTTGCAACAAGCTTTGGAAGGGAACCCTCTTGCCCTCTTCGGAGGATGGGAGTGGTTCAGAACCCTACAACCCTACAAAACGGCTAGGAGAACTTCCCGCCTCTGCATGTGGACAGCCGCCATTGTCCTCCTCATACCTGCCCTGCCTTGGCGGATTCAAGGTCTACAGGAGGAGGCCGGGCTGAACAGCTAGGCAGCTGCGATCACTGCAGTTGGGTTCCTATGACACGGAAGCCGTTGTGCCGCAGTGGTTTGGGGGGGACATCTTTTCCAACGCCCCGCATTACGGCTGCAAAGTTGCACTGACGTGCGTCACGGAGCACTGAAGAGAGAAGTAGTTAAGTGAGCTTTCGCCAAGCAGGTGTATCTTAGAAACTCAGAAACGTGCTCAGAGTCATGGGTTAGGATAGAGGCTTCCCCTAACCTGTAACCGAGCAGTGCACAAAAGAACTAGTTCACCGAGGCACTCGAAAGCATCAAAGACGCGCAGCTCCGTGAGATTGCTGAGGGAGAGCGGAAGGGAAGCTTTGCCTAAGCAAAGCTTTAACAAAGACACCCAGCATCAACTGTAATGATTGTCGTTCCGAGCCTTGCAACTAGCTAGTGCCTGAGTATCCGCAGCGCGGAAATATGAAAATACAGCCTAAACATTCTTGAAACATATCACAACATTCTTGTAACATATCACAAAACTCTGGCCAGGTGCAACATGCAGCTCCAGCATCGTTGGGCAAGTTCGAAAACTAACCTTATTCTCCTCGCGGCTAGGTCGCCGGTGAGGTTGTTTCCAACGACATTGAGATTTACCAGCTCTGTCAGCTTGCCCAGGCACCTCAGATTGCTGTCCTGGATTCTGTGAGTATGCTTCTTGAATTCAACAGGTGCGGTGTAAGCTTTAGCGGTATGAAGACAAGGCATGATCACCAGCATCCATGCACAAGTCTACCGTCTGCTTAAGGTCCCCCCAAAAAACCAAAAGGACCTTCTTCCGACAAGGGCAACACAGGGCTTATTTTCTTTTCTTTTGGGGGGGTGGGGGTTCTTAAGCAAATACTAGAAATAGACTGAAGTACATGGCCACCGCGGCCACATGAAGCAAACACTCTTGGAGCCCAAGACGCTCTGGGAGGGCTCTCATTGAGCTCCCCTGCCACGGCGCGATGTTCAAGCGGCGCAGCCCTGGGTTCTTCATGGGGGCTTTTTCTGCTTATAGGGGCTTATAGGGGCTTATAGAGGCTTATAGAGGCTTATAGAGGCTGATGAGGAGGCTTAGGGGGGACCTAGGGGGGCTTAGGGGTGACCTAGGGGGGCTTAGGGGGGGCCTCGGGGGCCTTAGGGTTGCCTTACTTCGCTGGCTTAGCATGCGAGAAGCCTCCCAGAACGGGGAAAATCTGCGCGCCGATTCAGCAAAACCCTGGTCTTTATCTGGCACGCATTTCGCCGCTGTAGGGCTTCAGTGCTCCTACAAACCCTAAACCCCTAAAGAAAACTGTGGCGGGTTGCAGTCCTCGGCCCCGAACTTGAAACCTGGAACTTAGTGGAGGGCCCGTTTCATCAGAATGGGCATTTTGTGGGGCAGCTTAGTTGTCTTCTCGCTTGTAGTGAGCAAAGACTTTTCGTCCGAGCGTCCGTGAAGCTCGCAAATCCATTCCGGCACCTGTGTTCCAAATTCTATCAGCCCAATCTTGGGAATAGGGTCCAGGGTTTAGCGTTTAGGGTTTAGGGCTTCAGGGTTTAGGGTTTAGGGTTTAGGGTTTAGGGCTTAGGGTGTCGTACAAGTGTCTGTTGGGGAGTGTGGGGAGGCAACGAGGTGGGAAGGTAATGAGTCCCTGTTGCTGAAGAACAACGTCAGAAGAGGACACAGCAAGACAGCAAGAAATGCGATGTGCCGGCCTTTGTCATGAAGCCGAATACCTTTCCTAGAACGCCTTCCGAGATTGGTTCATGGTCAGCGGCACGATCGCATCATGGGAGCCTTGCGACCGGTGCGTTGCTCAAAAAGACGCGAGGTCAAAAACGCCCCATGGGGCCCTGTAGATAACACCAGCACCCGAGGGCCCAAATCCCTTCCCTTTACTCTCATCGGGCACCTGTGGAGAGGACACGTCCACCTGCAAGCCGCGGATCCTGGGCCACCCATCTCCATCCGGAACAGGAACAAGGGCCACTCTAACGATTGGGGGGGCCCTTATCATCGTACCGCACCTCCTTAGCAAGCATTCACAATCTTCTCCCAGAGGTGAATTGCTACGGGCTTGCTCTCAAACCCCGAAACTGTGCAGCTTGAGTGTTCGACTTACATTAGGTTGTACAAAGTGGCCACCGCACAAGGTTTTGCACGCTGGCTCCAGTCACAAAGGCTCAAGCAAGGAGAGTTCACAGTTCAAGCAAGCCTGCTGCAAGAACCAATTAACACTCCAGCAGCCCCTTCTTCAAGCGTAAACCTCCGAGCGTCGTCCAGCCAGCTAGAGAGAGGGGCTCCGATGCGTGGTGAGCTCCATATTGCCTCTGGCTGAGCACAGGGTCTTAATGGGAGTCCTCTTTCAGCGGGGTGAGGTCGCATGGGTTAGTGCACAGGGCTTGAACGCGTTGCCCTTGAGGTCTTACAAGAATGGACTCTCATATTGGGGCAGAGACGCTGCTGGTTCAAGAACCGCACGCTGAGCCCAGGGAACGGATGCTTACGGCAAGAAGTCACAATCAGGACAGGGCTCAGATTCAAGATGCGCAGATTCGGCAGAGCTGCGATGAGGGTAGCCAGCTTTCGTGGCTGCAAGCAGTTTGCATCGCCCACGTCGAGGATCCTCTCACTATGTGGCCCTTGAAATCGGGATTGTAAGGAGGGTAGCGACCTTACCCTGCATCGCTGTCGGGGGCCTACAACAAGTGCCTAAAGCATACCAAACCTCTTTAGACCGTGACAGGTCTGTCTTGGCAAGGCCTCAGAGAATCCATAAGCAAAGTCTCATGGCTCGATGTCGGGAAACTTCTTTCATTTCGCACACGCTAGTTCTGAACGGACGTTGTCACCTTACTTTGAACTACATCCTAACATTCAAAACGGGCGAGAACCCAGACCTGTTTCAACCTTATGTACCAGCAACACACACGGGGACAGCTTTCCAAGCCTCGCGACCTCCGAGCCTCCGACACCAAGACGAAGCACACAAAGGTCGTAATCACAAGCTGCAGTCTCGAAAAAAGCACAACTCTTTAGCAAGAGCAGACTAAATCCGTTGCTGCCCTAGCATCTTAACAGCCACAAGACCCGCCCGTCCCCAAGAGAAAACACCGCTGCCTCACCGATTGTAATGGCGCAACTGGCTGAGCAGGTACACTTTGCAAAGCCGAGCACTGCCTTGGATTGCCAGGGTTTAGGGTGTCAGTGTTTCGGCGTAATTCAAAGAACGTCGGCAGTGCAGATGCTGACAGGGTTGGTTCCACGCACAAAGGGAATGCGCAGCTGCGGTGCCGTAAGGTCAGGCGCAGTATGCGGTAGGTACCGTCCTGAGGGTTCACTTTCCGCAGCGGCTCTCTTCACACACTGACTGTATGCATGCATGTATATGGATATATATATATATATATTCCTCTACATAGGTATGGTACTACAATAACTTTCTTATCCAGAGGGCATTATTTACTTATACTTGTATCAGTCACGGTGATCCGGTCCTCAGCTTGACGGCAGCCAAGGACTTCCTGGTACAGACACGTCTCACGCACTGACGATGCAGTCAATACTGGCACTACTTGTAATAGGGTTGAGGATTTAGGGTTTAGGGTTTAGCGTCTTGGGCTACTTGCATTAAACACTGCCATGGCTTCTGCTGTCGGAATTATTTGCCACGATTGCTGCTGTTTCCTGTCTACGTCTTGGAGTTGACTGGCCCTTCTTACGGGTAACTTTCTATCCCCGCTCTTTCTTGGGATACTCTGAAGACATGGCCTTTGCGTAGCCTCCTACATCCTGAGCTCAGACTCCAAACAGGCCTCACCCTCATCCACAGGTACTCGCGCATCCTGAGAGTTAGGAGCCACAAGTGCGCCCATACCCTTCCCCAGATACTTCAGCCCCAATCCAGGCGTTCACTCTACACCTGACGACATGGAGGGGCGGGGAGGGGGGAGGACGGAAGGGGTTCGTCGTTCCTTTTTTCGCCTTGGCTTCCTTCCGAGAAGTGTCTGGACCCGGATCCGGTCTACTTAGTCTACTTCCCCCAAACCCACTCTCAGAACCCGCTTTGGGACCTCATTGGACCTGCTCTGGGCCGGCCCGGCTGCCGGCGCCCAACGTTTACAATTATTCTTCTACAGAGCCTCACATCTAGGGCTCCCAAGAACGAACCAGAATGTAGAGGTACGGTACTGAGCCCCTGAAAGGTTGAAGCTTAAACCCTGAACCCTAATCCTGAACCCTAAAACCCTGAGCCCTAGCACGGCCTTGCACAGCCGGCATACATCAGCCAGTGCCTCCTCACTGGGGCCTCCAGGGGCTCGGAAAGCCCCAGTCCCAACTGCGCCCCATTTGGGGCTAGGGGTTTCGGGTTTCGGGTTGAGGGTTTAGGGTTTAGGGTTTAGGGTCGAATGCTGTACCCTGCTAGGTATAGGAGGGTTGAAGGAACCAAGCTGGGCTGGAAATTCGCCTCGGCTTCCTGCCGAGAAGCGTCTGGAACAAGCAGACCCGGATCGGGCCTCCTTCCCCCCTAACCCAATGCCAAATTTTCTGACGCCACCCCCCCCCCCCCCGCCCTGGGACCCCCCCCAATCGTGGGAGAGTGCCTCAACCCCCCACCCCCCCCCCACCCCCCCCCCCCCCCCCCCCACCCCCCCCCACCCCCTCCCACCCCCCCCCCCACCCCCCCCCAACCCCCCCCCCCCTTCTTTGACCCCGCTGCCCTTCCTCTTTCCTCCTTTCTGTCCTGGGGCCGGCCCGGCTGTCCTGGGGCCGGCCCGGCTGCCGAGGCGGCGCGCGCAAGCGTTTACAATTATGGTGGACGCGTTGGAGAGTTGACGTGCATCTATCTTTCGAAGCACGCTACCCCAGACCCAACACGCGAGGGACCCCTCAGCGTGCACAGTACTGCCATTAAGTCTGGGTTGGGAAAGGGGGGGGCTCTTGCCTGTGGTGCATTTGAAGATGCACCAAGAGCACCAGAGCACCAGGGGAGCGACACATCTCTCATGTTCACTTGGCATTCTAAACTCCCTCAATGAGATGAACCGAAGTCCCGGAACTCTCTAAGAAACCCCGTTCAATTTTAAAACCAAAAATCTCCAGGAGCGGGTTTTGCTTTCAGGGTTCCCTTCCTAGAAGAGGCCAGCCCTTTCAGACTACAAACACCAAACCCCCTGCAACCACCGCAAATCAAAAGTCACAACCCCAATGTGGTAGCTGGGTCAGTCCAACCTTGTGGGGCCACAGAAATGTTGTGGAGCCCGGCCACGCAGCGCTTCCTTCGATGCAAGTGGGACTGAAAACCAAATTGCGTGCTTTGCGGTTGCACATTGTCAAGTGCACACGTTGTTTTCAGACTGAGCTCTTCCGCTCCACTGTGCTAATTGTTGTCTGCTCTTGTGCTACGTCTATGACCAGCGGAAAAGATGTCAAATTCCTGAAAACTTAGTTTGGCATGTTCGGGCTTGATCATTCACATTTGGGGTTGTGGAAGCGATACATTCGCTACGAACATTACCTGTCATCTTATACATTCAGGGCCGGCTGGCCCTTGAAGGGGCCACCTGAATCTCAGCTATATGTGCTGCTGCAAACAGCACATGTCTTTCTGGGTTCATTGAAAAGGGAAGTAAACTCCAAGACCATGGTCCCAACGCAACTTGCATGAACACACCTCCACCCAAGCCTTCGACCCAGAAGCATCCCAGCTCTGCTCTGCAAATCGTAGTCCAACAACCTTCAAGTCTCCATGGCAAGATGGACGTCTTCGGAGTTGCTCAAGTCAGCTGAGGTACGGCTTGTCTTGCCCCATATGGTCTAGCAGCATCTGAAGAGTCTCCACCTTTGAAAACTTGGCTTTTAAAAGATATGGAAAAAAGCCAGACACCAAACTTACTGCGAACGCAACTCAAAATTGCACACAACAACAGGCAGTCTTTGCAAAAGCTTTAAAGGTTTAGCTGTGTAGCTCAAGCTGCGCACCCTGGCACAAGATGCCTTGCTGCCACGGAATCATTTCTGTCAAACTCCAATTTCTTCTCGCAAACTCTGCAATCTTTTGGCAAGTGCCACCATTTCCTTCACACTTCCACAAGACGCGGCTTTGCAGACTGGAACTTTCAAAGCTCATGGCCTTTGAACAATAATTACAGGTTTCGCCTTCAAACCAAACCGTTTTCTTGCAAGTTCTGAAACCATGTCGAGGCTTGAGGTATATAGGTCTGATCGCGGACGGAGCCACATGGGACCACATTGCGAGGTGCGTTTGGCGGCGTAGAAACGGCGACACGACACTGCACGACATGGCTCTCAGAAAGTCTACGACACTTCAGAAACCGGGTCTTGGTGAGCAAAGCACCTGGAACATTCACAGAGGCCTGCGACACAGCCACCTCGCCGCGCAGCAGCCAGCGTGCCCACCTCAGTCCTTCGACTTTCTCGACCTTCAAACACGAACACTTCTGCTACACATCCTTCAGCCCAAGGTGGTACTCCTCATCCTTCAGCCCAGGTCGTACGATGCTTTATACCGACGTCGAGGCCATCAGCATTTCAGTCCACATCCCTCCATAGCTTCCCACCAAAACCTCTTCCACCCCAGATCTCTCCCCCCCAACACACGGAGATGACAGAGCCCATTGACGAGGCGGAAACAGGTCAACTTGAAGCACAGGAAACCACGACTCGGCTGACCTCTCCAGTGGACAATCTTGCACACCAGGCCGCCTCCTCCATGAACGTGGGCAAGCCTCTGTGCTTTGGGGGTATGAGGATGGCTGCGAACTTGCACCCTTTCAATCTACACACTGGGTAGCTCTCTACATTAGGGTCCCAGTTTAGGGTCCTGCTTCAAAGGGCCAAAAGGAGGACCCAAATTAGAGAACTACCCATCTAGCGTTGGCCCCAGGATCAGAATCTGCGAGCAACGGGAGCTTGCCTGGTTCCAAGGGTGCCAGCAAGTAGTACAGCGGGAGAGACTCGGCAACCAGCGAATTCCCAAACGCCTCACCAACCGCCGGCACCTGTGAGGAAGCGTGCCATACAGAAAAGCCCCCGAAGCTCCCGCCAAAACCACAAGACAACAAACATGACAACCAGTATGGAAAATTAGCAATGCCAATATATGCCAATCAAGCGAAACCATCCAGGTGAGGAAGAGGCAGGCCAGGATCAGAGAACAAGGAAAGCAGGCTGGCAAGGCAACACGGTGGAAGACGTAGTGAGCTCTGACCTCACCTGCAAACATGGAGCCGCATGTTGGGCACTGCTTATCCCTACGTACGAACGTGCCCAAACCCTAGGTCATACTCTGATTAACAAGCAGGACACGGTTTCCTGTCGGAGACGTGTGTGCTCTGAGTGTACTGAGTTCCCTAAGCTCTGAGCCACAAACTTAAACCCCACACCCTAAAACCTAAACCCTAAAACCCTAAAACTCTAAAACCCTTAAACCCTAAAGCCGAAGCTCTCAATGACTCAACCCCTGAATCCTCTTTTTGCCCTCTGGGGCCACGATTGCCAATACGGCCAAGGCCTCAAAGATGCTCCTGACAGCTCGCCACACGAACGGGAGCTGGGATGCCTGCTGCGTAGGGTTTGGGGGGTTTAGGGGTTTAGGGGGTTTAGGGGTTTAAGGGTTTACGGGTTTAGGGGTTTAGGGGTTTAGGGGTTTAGGGGTTTACGGGTTTAGGGGTTTAGGGGTTTAGGGGTTTAGGGGTTTACGGGTTTAGGGGTTTAGGGGTTTAGGGGTTTAGGGGTTTACGGGTTTAGGGGTTTAGGGGTTTAAGGGTTTAGGGGTTTAGGGGTTTAGGGGTTTAGGGGTTTAGGGGTTTAGGGAAAATGTAGTATATGGATATGTTATACAATATACGTCGACCCTCCCCTTGGCGGGGCGGGAGGCGTCAATGGAGAACCGGTCACCTCTGGCCCTTCAGACCCACTCACCAGGTTCGCAGGGCACCTACAGGCCCACAGGCACTTACAGGCGAATCCGCAGAACCCGAAACATTCCTGGACCGGCCCCACCAGCCCCCGGGCGCGGAGAAAAAATGAGCCTTGTTCTTCTTTTCCCTTTTCCTATTATTCATGCTGCGTTCTTCTTCTTCTTCTTCTTCTTCTTCTTCTTCTTCTTCTTCTTCTTCTTCTTCTTCTTCTTCTTCTTCTTCTTCTTCTTCTTCTTCTTCTTCTTCTTCTTCTTCTTCTTCTTCTTCTTCTTCTTCTTCTTCTTCTTCTTCTTCTTCTTCTTCTTCTTCTTCTTCTTCTTCTTCTTCTTCTTCTTCTTCTTCTTCTTCTTCTTCTTCTTCTTCTCTTCTTATTGTCCCCACCCCCCCCCCCCCCCCCCCACCCCCCGACACCCCGCGCAACCCTGCTTTGGAACGCCTCTGAGCCTCTGCACCCTGGGCCCTCGCCCTGGTCGGCACGCAACAGCCCCCTCACATACTACATATGTATCTTATGCATTATATAGCGCACACCCTATGCTTTCTCTTTTTGTTTGTTGCTCTTTAGGTACACGACACGGTCTTTTCTGGATATTCTATACTGTATACTATATAATTGCGTAGATATACTACATATTGCATCTGTCGGATAATAAAATATATATATATATATATGTACTTCTGTTTCTGTATGTGATTGTTTACTCTACATGATTACGTGTATTGATTCTGCTGCGGCCTTGAAGCCCAACTTCGTGGGAGGCCCCCAGGTGACTTCTCCGGCGTAGTCCTTATGAAGAGCGCTGCCGAATTCTAAGTACTGAATTAGGGTTTAGGGTTTAGGATTTAGGGTTTAGGGTTCAGGGTTCAGGGAACTGCTACTTTTACACTCTTCCTCTTGCAACGGCATCGACGACGACTACGACGACGAAGACGACGACGAAGACGACGACGAAGACGACGACGACGACGACGGCGGCGGCGGCGGCGGCGGCGGCGACGGCGACGGCGACGGCGGCGGCGGCGACGACGACGACGACCACCCTCACCAACGCCACTGCCACTCATCACCAGCAGCACCACGAGAGCGCCGATTCGAAGTAATGTTGGATGTACAGGCTTTGTTCATGTAGTCGAATGTGCATGGGAACCAAAGACAACGGCACGACAGTAGGCAGCAGGGGGAGGGTTGGGCGGGGATGCGGCAGCACCATACCCGTACCATTGGGGGTAAGAGGCTAGATGGAGCACCGCCACGATCCGGAAAACCTTCAAATCCAGATTGAGCTGGTACTTGTCGAGGGACGCATTGCACTGGAGTGTGGACTGACAACTTGGCAGAACTTAGATTCTCCTCGAGCTACGGCAAGGCCGGTCGTCACAACTCTCCGCAGCACGTAGTTCACCAGCATGGAGCCATTGGTGATCTCCTTCGAGGCATCGAGCAGTGAAGGTTTTCAGCTCAAGGTTGCAGAACTAGGTGATGCCGGCTGCTTTGATCCAGAGTGGGGGTTGAACAGCTACTCCTCTGGGGCACATGATTGCCCAACAGTAGCGAAGGGGAGGTGGAACTCATGTCCTCATGTAAGCGCCTTGAACCATATTTGCAAAACTCGAAATACTCATCCAACATGGGTTCGGGGAACTTGCTGACGAATGGTTTAACATACTTATGGCACCCACGTTCCCAGGCCTCTCACGCAAAGTCCTTACAGAAACCTCCGCCAAGCAAAGGATTCCCACGGGTAGATTTGCGAATATCCCTCGAAAGCCCTCAAACCAAAACCCTGAACCCCTTTACGACACTCCACAGGCTGTTCCAAGTCCTTCCATGTGGCATGCGGAATGCCATGTACCTCTGCCCAAGTCCTTGTTTGGTCGGATCCTTTTCGGGTTTAGAAGGTCTAGAGTTTTGCGTTATTCAAGAACCCGCCCGCTTCGGCAGACCGACGTCAACCTGCAGATACGTGGGAACAAAAGCAGAAGTCAACCATTCAAACACCGATTTAATCACTGCTGGCAAACAAGGGGGGCCCCTTTAAGGTATGTTCCTTGGCAATTCCTGAGCTCGTGTCTACAGACTTCTGCACACATTGCATCTTGTATCGCGTCGTGCGCAACCTGACATGAAACGAAGACATACGGCCAACACAGGCAAGGCGCTAGGCTAGACTGGGACAATCCCGTCTCAGGCCCGAAACCCGAAACCCCTAAACCCACAACCCCTGGACCCCTAAACCCCTAAACCCCCAAACCCCAACAGCAGCTGAAACTCCAGAGCTCCGGCTCTTGCTGAAGTGGGAGCAGCCCAGGACTGCGGATGAAGGCTTAGGTTGTCCGAGTAGGGCTTTTTAGGGCTTATAGGAATTATAGGGTTCATAGGGTTTATAGGGCTTATAGGAATTATACAGGGTGCATAGGGTTTATGGGGTGTACAGGGCTGATGGGGTTTATAGGTTCATAGGGCTTCAAAGGGTTGACAGGGCTGAAAGGGGGTTCAAAGGGCTCGTAGGGTGTTTATCGGGCTCATAGGGTTTATAGGGATTGTAGGGTTTATGGGGTTTGTAGGGTTTGTAGGGTTTTTGGGGTTGAGGCTTGAGCGCCTAGGCAGTATAGGCCAAACGATTGAGCAGGCCACGGTTGTGTTCTCCTACGTATGCATGGCACGTGACCTGTAGCCGTGTCACCAGGTTTCTGAAAACCCCAAACAAGCAAGATCCTGCAGAAGATACGCAACGACATCAAAGCTTCAAGGCGCACATACCCTAACCCTAAACCCTAAACTATGTTGCAGGGGCATTTGGGACACCTATGTAAGTCGACGGCTTTCTGGTGGTGAGCAGACGTATCCCGTGTGCCTGAGCGGCACCACTGGCAAGTCGCATTCTGAACCTCGATGCTCGCATGGCAGTGGGAATCTGAACTATGTGAGAGGAGGTACTGTACTGGGATACTCTGATGCACTGCCAGGAAGCCAGACAGCATGCACTTCAATGCTGTGTTGCAATTTGTAACCATGTCCATGATTGCCACAGGAGGAAAGGGGTGCCAACTAGTTGTACCTTCCTCAACCGAGTCCAGGAGAATCTTGAAACCATGAACGCCGACTCACCACCTGATCAACTGCCGGGACACAACTGCCACGAAGAACTGTACAAAACTACTGTCAATGGAAGATTGCTGGGGCGAGAGAGTCCCGAGGAAGCTCTAAAATGTTCTTACAGCCATGGTGTGCATGGGAGCAAAGCCTACAAGCTAACTCACTCCACCAACACCAGACCTCGCAAGGAACAGGGAGGGTTTAAAACCCCACAAGCAACACTCAGACTCCAATCGAGTGAGCCCCCACAAAGGAAATTTGAACAAGTTCTTTGATGCACAAGATCTTTCAGGTACATATGGTAGCAGAGCTTCCGGTCACCACCAAGGGCGCAGTAGCCACCAGCAGCACAGCCCGTCGCGAGAGCGCTAGCCACATCAGAGAGCTTGCCCGAACTCGTCCAAAAGGTATCCGGCAAGATTTCTACCAACTGATGCATCAGTGTATCCTGGGAAGTAAAACTGTCCGATGTCTCCCAGCAGAGCCTACGAGAAACTGGGCTGACAACTTGAGATCAGAGCTGCCTTGCCACTGCACTAACCGGCCTAAATGTTCTTCTTCTGAAGACTTAGTAAGAATCAATCCGCAGCATTTCAGCGATGATTTTGAGTTCTCCTCGAAAGGCAAACAGCATCTTCTGTTGGGAGTGGGGTAGAGACGATGGCAGGCTCCGAAGTATCACACTCCGAAGTATCACAATGCACAGCATGTGGTGAGCTTCCCACAAGTGTTGCAGCCTTGCCATGAAAAATGCAGTTGCAAGGACTTTGCGGCGACATCCAACACGAACGTTCCTGCAAGCGCGCCTGCACCTGCATCCCCCACCCGTATGGCCATCTCCACCTTTTTTCGCGTGTGCTTCCCGCGGCGGCCTGCACCCACAGGAGCTTTCAGCTGCTGTGGGCTTGACATGTCCAAGCCTGTGCTGCTCCTATGTACACTGCACAATCGCGGCAATGGGTCTTCCCACTCTATCAGGGCCTCGCTCCCTCCGAAGGCTCTGCGGCTAATCGCTTGGCATCCTGGTAAACAGCTTCAAGGTGAGGGGAGCCCATCACGCACCGATCATCCCCCAGATACGTTGAGGATTCCTCAACCTCCCAGCCGTCGGGCATGTTGATCTTTGCAAAGATCTTCTGGTTCTCCGTGCCCTCATCGTCAAGACCGGGCAGCATGGCACCACCACCGTAACAACCAAGTTTCAACTCGGCTTCTGCTTCCTCCCAGCTCCAGGAGGCTTTTGTAGCCAAGCGCCTGTGGATGGGATACTCGGAAAAATCTCGTGACGCGACCACGAAGTCAAGGTCTGTGCTTACATAACCCAAGGTCACCGTTCCGCATCCGTCCCCTCCGGGCAGAAAAAAATCCCCGCACAATTGGAAGATCGCAAGAGGGATCTTCGGCTGTGGACGATGGAATTCAAAGTAGGTCCAGCGCCACGCCTCCAGCTTGCCGGGGCGCTTGGACACCTTCCAGTTTTCAAGGCCCATGGCCATGAGGGCTGGTGATTCCTGCCCGACGATCTCCAAAGTACCAGCAAAAAGTTCTGGCAGCCGCTCGGACATCTTCTTGGGAAAGCCAAGTACCCGCTTCGTCAACTCTAAGCTCTCATCGCCCTTGATGGCCAAGAAGCTCTCCGACAAGCTCCGCACAACGAGCTTCTTTTCGGGCGTATCCTGATCCACGTCAGCATCCCCTTGGTTCTCTGGCGGTGCACAGGCGCGAATCTCAAGTGTAGGCCCGAAGGGCACATACAGCATCTTTCTGCTCTTGATGTCTTCTCTGGCCCACAAGAAGCAGTTGCACAGATCCTCATCTCGTGCAAGGAGCTCTTTCAAAGCGACCGTCTGCAGCCGCTCGAGAATCCAAAAGCCCTCGCCCAACTGGAGGCACTGGGGCAACAATTGCGAGAGGCTCCTGCAGCTGCGCAAAGCCCCCAAAGCGGCCGGGCCACTGAGGTATTCTTGGAGGATGCGCGGAAGCCACACGAGAAGACAGCTCTCCATGGACTACGAGGGCGTTTGAGCTGCCCCAAAAACGTGGCTTGCTTGGCAATGCAAGTGGCCCCAACATGAACGTCCCAGAGAAACTGCCCATGCTTCGGGCCGGCAGCAGGACGGGGTAATCAAAGGCGAAAGTAAATGGGGATGATGATGATGGCCTCGGGCCTGGGGCTGAAGGGTAACGCATCTGAGTGTCGCCATGTACGAGAGCCACCAACAAGACCCGACGAGCTGTGAAGTAGGGCAACTTGGGCACAATACCCCATGATGATAATGATGACAACTGCGGCTATGATTATGATGACAATGATGGAGTCGGTGGCCTATTCCTGGAGAGCTCTGTTAGCAATCCGGCTCTCCGCCAAATCTACATCGTGGGCGTCACTGCACATGTTTCTGAACTGTGTCATTCTGTAGCCATCCCCTAAGCTTCCGCCCTTTGAAGCAGCCCGAAACACGATCTCCACCTTTTCTCGGAGCAGCGACAAAGATTGTTTGAAGCTCACCGGCGAGCCCGTGGAACCCCCGTGGAAGCCAGAGAGAGCCCGTTCCTGTGAGCTTGTGCCACCGGGTATAGCAAATGGTACTAAGACCCAGCGACCACTAAACGATCGCTGATCGCTGATCGCTGATCGAACTGGCTTGCCAGATTTTCTTTACAGCGTTCGGACGGTACGCTATAAGCTTGCTCAGCGCCTCAGCGGCAGGTGTTGCCGCCATTTGTCAGGTCAAAGCTGCAGCACATGATGGACACAAAGTAGCCACCAGAGCTGGAGCAAGTCATGCCCGCAAAGTTCCTGCCAAAGGGGCATGCGGAGCTTGATGTCGGAACATTTCCACAGGCCAAGGTGGACACCGTGAGATCCATGGTGCAGCTGCCGCGTGACTTGCCCCTCCAGCCATAGCGAGCGTTGCACCCGATGGAGCCACCGAAGCCGGCTCCTGCCCACCAAACGTCCGTGGTGCTTCCAACCGAGAAGCCGGCTCCCAATGAGATCCAACCCAAGGGGCCCTGTCCATTGAGGATGTCCTTCATGATATCCGAGCTGCCGCCTGCAAGGCCGATGGACCAAGCCACGTTGCCGTTCAGGGACCGCGTGTAACCCGTGGATACGAAGTTGCCGCCCTGGCCCGCGCAGGCCAGAGCAGCTGTGACCTGAGCACATGCAGACCGAAAGCAGGCGCGGAATTCCTTGGATAAACACATACAGAACACAACATCTTCAACTGGCCGAGCCACTGCTTCCACGACGGTCTCCACGACTTGCACCACAACCTTCACGACCGCCTGGCTCACGCTGCGGATTGTTCAAACTGGTTCCAACAGCAAGTCAATGCCACACGCTTCGAAGGCATCAGGTGCTGACGGGAGGGACGCCAATGGGGACAAGACAACAGCAACGATCTGCAAAGGTTACAGTAAGGACCTGAAATTCCGCACGGTATCGCGGTTTTCCACAAAGAGAAATAGGTAGAGAAAGAGAAAAGGAAAGAGAAAAGAGACAACAGCAAGAGAAAAGGGAAAAAAATAAATAAAAAAAAAAAGAGAGAGAAAAAGAGAAGAGCGGATCACGGAGCAGCGGAGAGAGGGAGCCATGTTTCCCAGCATGCAGGAAACAACTCCCTAGGCAAGTCTTGCAGAAGCACAGGCGAGGTGAACCAGGGAAGTAACATGAAGTAACTTGAGGGGATGTGCGTCTGCGTGTCCAAGTCGCTTCGAAGATGCGGCGGCGGCGCCGGCGCCGGCGCCGGCGGTCCCAGAAGGCCTCTGCACCTGGCACAGTGTGCTTAAGTGCCTCGCCGCAGGCTGCAACCACAGGGCTCTGAAAGCCGCCTGGCCTTCTCCTTCATCTTCAACCTCCTCCAACAAGGACAGCTGCATCTTCTCGTTCGCCTCCTCCGCCTCGTCCTCCGACGGTCGCCCGGAGGCGTGCGAAGAAGCGCTTCTTTCCGCACTTCTTTCCTTTCGTGCCGCCTCCTTCTCGATGTCGGCCAGCTTGTGTAGGTTCACCAGGCGCTTGGCCCGCTCGTAGGACAGGGACCCCACGACGGACTTCGCGAACTCCAACATGGAGGCCCGGGCGCTGTCGTGGTAAGCATGGAAGACCTGGTGGGACGAGTGGTGCTCCTGGCCGTGGCGGGCGTACTTCTCGATGAAGCTGTAGTCCTGCGTGTCGGCCATGAACCTCGGCTACCAAGCGCAGGATATACATCAAAAGGCCCGCCGCTGCACCTCAACCATCGCATGTCAGCCTTCTTAGAGTGGCTACTCTTCAGCGGCTACGCTCACGACTAGACTCCGGAATCAGCTACACGACTTGGCAACATTGCTCAAGATGTGCTCAACGTTGCTTTCAGGTCCAAGGAGCCGCTGAACCCGCTGCTCCAGGTGGAAGCGGAGCTTGATGTCCGAGCGCAGGAGCCCCGCGTGCTTGGTCTCCAGGAGCGCCAGGGCATGCTTGTGGTGCTGCAAGTAGATGTCCCAAAAGTTGGTGTGGTCACAGCCCAGCTTCTGGCACACGGGATGCCAGGCCTGCTGCAGCTTGTCGATGGTCTCGTCCAGGGAAGCGTTCACGGCGTGGCTGTTCATGATCTGGTGGCTGGCGGCGGCCGCCGCTTTAAGGTCCAAGGCCATGCTCATGGTGGCCGCGTGCTCTGTGCCCACCATAGAGGTGAGTTGCCGCAGCGACGTCTCACGCGAGGTCTTTGCATCGAACTGCAAGAAGGCGTGGTCGTGCTCTGAGCCGTCACAGATGTAGGCCTCGGGAAGGAGTGCGTCCACAGCGAGGCTGTTGCCACCCTCCTCGTGGAGCAAGGCATCTCGGAGCAGCGGCCACGTGATCTCTTCGAACCGGGTCACCTGCTCCAGGATCATTGCGTAGACCTCCATGCTCACATGGGCGGGCACGGCGGCTTGAACGATGCAGGACGCGGCCACGATGCAGGCCATGTAGGTCCGAAGATCCTCAGGGACGCAAGGACTAGGACCCTCGGACGCGGCGGCCATGAAGTCACCGAGGACCGCATAGAAGCCCGCAGCGCAGTCCATGACAAACGGCAGGTCATGTTGGTAGTCGCTGGCATGGAAGCTGACATTCGTTGCGAGACTACCATCACGAATGAGTCCGGTGCAATTCGTCATGTTGATGATCAGCAGGGGCAAGGCCACGGTCAACTCCTGCACGGTTTGAATCTGCGATGCTGGGAGCTCACGCCGCTGGCGAACCTTGTACGCCAGGCATGGACACAACCACAGCGAGCCGAGCAAGCCCAAGAAGCCGAGCTTCATGAAACGGAGCTTCATTGAAATGCGAAGATACTCCAAAGACTTTCAAGTCGAAGGCAGGCAATCCTGAACCCTACTTGAGCCTGAACGATCGAACGCAGAACAGCAGAACAGCCACGGCAAGCACCCGAAGCGAAGAAGCGGCCAGGAAGCATGTGCCGAGAGCCTAAGAATGCCCATGCGCGTGGTCCCAAGTCGCAGGGGAGATCAGGCATGCTTCGAACATGCGATGCTCTCGCCTGCTTTGCAGAAGAGGTTCGCTCGGCGGCGTCGACACCCGTGGCCCCCTTACCGGAAACTAGACATCCTTCTTGCGAGTGGCAGGAGCCAGAAAGCAGAAAAGTTTTCAGAGACGTCCTTAGCTTGGAAACTTTCGGTGTGCAACACAATGCCAGCAAAAGACAACCCTAAGCCTGCAGCCTGACATCCTAAAGGCTTAGACTGTCTGGCTCAGCGCCAAGGGTAAGGGCGATTTAGTTTCTTGGACCTCCGCACCTGTGCAGCTGCCGGCCGTGGAGGCTCCACCCCTTAAACCCGAAAGCCTCAATACCCCAAATCCTATTAAGGTCCCTAAGCCTCAGCAGCTCGAAGGCTAGGACGTGGAAAGCTGAGGTTCAATGCAAGCCCGGGGGGGGTTCACGGGTTCACGGGTTCACCACAGGTCTGCGGTTCAGCCGCGGATAAGGACGGCATACAACGGATTTCCAACGGATTGTTGCGGATGGCAGCGGAACACGAACGAATTCACCTCGGCTTCTTGCCGAGAGGCGTCTAGATTGAGCAGACCAGGATCTGGTCTCCTTCCCATCTCAACAGACCGTTGGAGGATGCCGAGGGGGTTCCGGGCCACAGAGGCCACGCCAAAAAGCACGAAAAGCCCAAAACCCACCCGGCGCGCCGGGACCCCCCTGATGTGCCGGTGCTGCACCATGACTTTCGTCTGCGTTGCACACACGACACCCCCGAAGTTGGGCAGCCTGGCTGCCGAGGCGGCGCTCTGGTGGATCAAGAGCATTGGACAAGCAATGTTGAACCCTCATTCTGAACTCATGCGCCGACCTCCACAGACATGTGGGTCGGTAGGCTTGGTAATTATGCACTTGCACAGGCCAGCGCACTTGTGGCACCCAGCGAAAAAAGGAAGTTGAGTGCCCTGCTCGGCTCGCAGAGTCTCCAGAATCCTTCCTTACTTCCTTACGGTTCAAAATCTATCTTTGATAGATGTGTGAAACAGTCGCGTTGAGAGCTTTGTCAGTGAAGCACATATCTCCACTCGCCTCGCAGAGGCAGGACAAGGAGTCCCCAACTTCAGCGGTCCATTTGAAGTGCATGACTGCCTTGCGTTGCCCGATAAAGGAAACCCCTCTGATGAACATTCTTATCCTGGCAACGAATAGTACCGCCCCAGCAAAAGCAAAAACATGTACGTACCCAGATATGTACGAAAAGACTTATATATTCAGAGAAGCTCCCATATATATATGGTGCAGTGTCGCCCGTTCCCCCCCCCCCCCCAGTTTAGGGTTTAGGGTTGAGGGTTGAGGGTTGAGGGTTTAGGCTTAGGGTTTAGGCTTTAGAGGGGTGGGGGGATACTATGGGGGCGGGTGGGGGCGACCGGGGGGGGGTGTTGACACTGCGACACGGAACCATGTATAAGGGCCCTGACGAGTTGCTTGCACAACCACCACAGCCAGGAGCGGAAGGAAGAGCAGGAGGGCTCGGGACAGCTTGGACTTGCGAATGAGGCGGCCAAAGGGCGACTCGATACCTGGGAACACCAGTAGCCCAGCAGAAACAAAAGGGTTTGGGGCGTATAGGGTTGATAAGGGAACCTCTTTTCCTTCAAACTGAAGAAAGAAGGTTGGGATCCTCTCTATCCCCCCGCCTACAGCCTAAGCCCTTCGCACAAAGCTCCCTGCATCCGAGCTGCGGGTTTCGACTTGAAGTTGAGTCACGCGGTCTTGTGTACCTTAAGGGGACCCATGGGATCATGGAGCCGAAAAAAGGATTCGGAGGGTTTCGTGACCATCAGCCTTCGAGGATTCTGGTTCAAAACTGGCTCACTTCATTCTCGAGGCACGCTGATCCACGAAGGCGATGAAGAGGAGGTCGTCGACCGTCACGAGGAAAGTGAGGGCCAGGCTGTTCAAGACCAGGTCGGTCATGTCGCGGACTACGAACAAGAACAGGATGCCCACGTTGAAGATCCTGAAGGACCAAAAGGAACTTCACTTACTTTAGTAGCTGTAGTGGGCCGTATAGATCTCCAGCAGATGTATGGGGCCTATGAGGCACATGGATCCCACACTCTAGACCTCATTTGCACCCCAAGGATCATCAAGAACAAGATGCTTCGTGGAATGTGCACGAAGGCGATCAAAAGGAGGCGGTGGCATCGAGGAAGAGCCCTCAACTGCTCCTGCCCTTCTTCGCTCTCTGTTTTGGCAACACACTCCGGCGTGGCCTTTGCTTCAGGCATTCGGCAGAGAGTCAGCCACCACGTTATCACGTCCCGAAGCTCTTCCACGTTGGCAATGGCCCACAAGCACACCAGAAGGTTCAGAAAAACCTGGAAAACCAGAGTCCGCAGCCCCATGGGCGCATTGAAGTCAGCGCTTTGCTGGAACTCGGCAAGGGGGAAAGCATGGCTCGGTGCGGAAACTGTAGCTCTTTGCCCACACTCCTGCAAACGGCGTGACTTCCACTGAGGCAGGTCCTTGAACAGTACCTCGGGTGCTGACAAAAACCCATTGAAACAAGTCCAAAATAGCCTCTTCGACCCAATACATGAAGGTGCTTAAACCCACCTGCAACAATCCTGCGTTCAAATAGGACACTCCTTAATGTAACCCAACAACTGAAAACACATGTTCGAAGGGCCCGCCTGGGTACTGGGCAAATGTGAGTCATCACTGCCTCGCAATGTGCTTCAGCCTTCAGCTGTCGAACCTCTGAGGTGCCAGCTGCTTTAAAGAGGAGCGGAACCGTCACATTCTCGAGCATGTCCCAGAAGTGCTTTTTCAAGCCCTGTGCGAAAAGTCCCGGCCACGCTTGCCTGGAAAGGAGGTTGCCACACATATCCACGTCTGCCACCAGGCAGAGATCCAGCAGTGGCTCAAGCTCCTGTTTGTAGTAGCGCCGGGGCATACTGGCGAACTGCCGCATGCAGTGGCTTTCCCGGTGATTCTCTGTGCACTGGAAGAACTCGGTGACAGGGAAGATGTCCTGCACAGCGAGATTGATGGGGTAGCTTCCAAAGCCCGTGCGGTTTGGGGATGTCGTCCCACCCCCGAAGAAGCAGCAAAGGTCTCGGAGCCTCAGGCCCCCCGAATCGTAGGAACCGTTCATGCCCAGTGGATACTCCTCCTCCATTGTAAGCCCTTCGAAACCATACCATGCGCAGCCACCGTGGTGTGTTCCATCCAGCCTCCCATAGTCAGTATCGATGCAGGGAGCCATCCGGCACACGGTTCCGACTTCGTCTGGCATTGTCATCAAAGAAACCTCCGTGACCTTGAAGTACTTGTCGAGGGTGTTGTATCCATACGTGAAAGCGTTGCTCTGAACAATGGTTCCTTTCTGGCCCGAGTGCACTTGCTGACCCAAAATAGTGAGGTTCCGATACCACCAGCCCTGATTCTCTAGGAAGCCTGCCACGTAGTCGCCCGGCTTGCACAAGAAGGAAGGATGAGACTGGGCAAACTGCCTCACCAGCAGCATGAGGTTGTCAAAGACGGAGCCAAGGTTCGTCCGATGCCCCGTCAGGGCCCGGTGCCTCTCATCCAGCTTCTTGGCCTCTGCATACGTCCAGCGGCCATCGCCATCCAGGTCCAGGGTGTCAAAATCCCGGGTCAGGAGCACCTCGTCCATGCTGCAGACTAGGACCGTGCCGTCGAGGCCCTTGAGCGAAGTGCCTTTGTCACCTCGGGCCCATGAGCAGAGGCTGCTCTCCTCCTCCCTGCTGTAGAAATCCTTGCTGGGACTCGGCTCAGGCTCGCTGACCTGTCAGTAGGAAGGTTTCTGGGGCTCGTGGGAGGGGCTATGGGGTTTTGTAGGGTTTCTAGGATTCAGGGGCCTGGGTATAGAGGATGTAGACCACAGCGAACTGCATCACAAAGTTGATGGTCAGCAGGAACCATACCCAGGCAGTGGCCGCCCGTCGGCCAAACAAGGGCACCACCAAGGCAGCTTCGTAAACGGAAGGCTTCAGTTCGAGGATCCACCTCAGTATGCACCAAAAGGAACCCCTTCCTCAGCAAGAGGGTCATTATGGGTGCACGTCTTCGTTTTGGTTCTTTTTTAGGGGATGAGCCCGTCGTGTGTGTGTCTGGTATTTCTCTGGATATGAACCCAAAGCTTTGGTTCTCCTCTCCTTGGTCCCCGAGGTGCTCCGATGCCGCTTCGACACCGCCATTTGTTGGGGTGTTTGGGTCTTCTGGGTCGTTGCTGTGCAGGTAGCTGCGTGAGGACCCACTCTCTTCTTGCTCGGAGACCTCCATGCCTGCCTGCATTGCTACCGTAGACCGGATTGGGCCATGAGCTGCGGTCGACGTGATGTTGCTCTGCTTCTGCAAGGGCAAGCAGAAGCAGCAGTTCTTGAAAACAGCAACGCAGACAAAGTTCGAAGACTCCGAGATCTCAAGCGAACGCCCTCGGCCCGACTCGGCCCGAAGCCCATGCACGAGCTCAAAATCCGAACGCCAAGGGTTAAGGGGCATTCTTCGTGTCGGGATGCAGCAACCATCAAGCAGCACCAGTCAGTCGAAGGAAACTCTTCAAAGGAGCAATCCTTCGAGGCGTGCGACCATCTCCTACTCCAATACATTGCACAACCTTGAGCAAAGACCCACGAAACTCCCAAACCCCTTAGCCCCAACCTTTTGAGGTCCATCCCATGGCCTCCCTGTAAGCTCCAAGGTTCCTGTCCCGGCCCTTTGAAGCAGCCCAGAGCACGATCTCCGCTTTTGCTCGGATCAGCGATCAAGGTGAAAAGGGAGGTTTGAAGCTCACCGGCGAGCCCGTGGAACCCCCGTGGAACCCAGAGAGGGCCCGTTCCCGTGAGCCTGTGCCGGGTATAGCAAATGGTACTAAGACCCAGCGACCACTAAACGATCGCTGATCGCTGATCGCTGATCGCTGATCGCTGATCGAACTGGCTTGCCAGATTTTCTTTACAGCGTTCGGACGGTACGCTATAAGCTTGCTCAGCGCCTCAGCGGCAGGTGTTGCCGCCATTTGTCAGGTCAAAGCTGCAGCACATGATGGACACAAAGTAGCCACCAGAGCTGGAGCAAGTCATGCCCGCAAAGTTCCTGCCAAAGGGGCATGCGGAGCTTGATGTCGGAACATTTCCACAGGCCAAGGTGGACACCGTGAGATCCATGGTGCAGCTGCCGCGTGACTTGCCCCTCCAGCCATAGCGAGCGTTGCACCCGATGGAGCCACCGAAGCCGGCTCCTGCCCACCAAACGTCCGTGGTGCTTCCAACCGAGAAGCCGGCTCCCAATGAGATCCAACCCAAGGGGCCCTGTCCATTGAGGATGTCCTTCATGATATCCGAGCTGCCGCCTGCAAGGCCGATGGACCAAGCCACGTTGCCGTTCAGGGACCGCGTGTAACCCGTGGATACGAAGTTGCCGCCCTGGCCCGCGCAGGCCAGAGCAGATGTGACCTGAGCGCATGCAGACCGAAAGCAGGCGCGGAATTCCTTGGATAAACACATACAGAACACAACATCTTCAACTGGCCGAGCCACTGCTTCCACGACGGTCTCCACGACTTGCACCACAACCTTCACGACCGCCTGGCTCACGCTGCGGATTGTTCAAACTGGTTCCAACAGCAAGTCAATGCCACACGCTTCGAAGGCATCAGGTGCTGACGGGAGGGACGCCAATGGGGACAAGACAACAGCAACGATCTGCAAAGGTTACAGTAAGGACCTGAAATTCCGCACGGTATCGCGGTTTTCCACAAAGAGAAATAGGTAGAGAAAGAGAAAAGGAAAGAGAAAAGAGACAACAGCAAGAGAAAAGGGAAAAAAATAAATAAAAAAAAAAAGAGAGAGAAAAAGAGAAGAGCGGATCACGGAGCAGCGGAGAGAGGGAGCCATGTTTCCCAGCATGCAGGAAACAACTCCCTAGGCAAGTCTTGCAGAAGCACAGGCGAGGTGAACCAGGGAAGTAACATGAAGTAACTTGAGGGGATGTGCGTCTGCGTGTCCAAGTCGCTTCGAAGATGCGGCGGCGGCGCCGGCGCCGGCGCCGGCGGTCCCAGAAGGCCTCTGCACCTGGCACAGTGTGCTTAAGTGCCTCGCCGCAGGCTGCAACCACAGGGCTCTGAAAGCCGCCTGGCCTTCTCCTTCATCTTCAACCTCCTCCAACAAGGACAGCTGCATCTTCTCGTTCGCCTCCTCCGCCTCGTCCTCCGACGGTCGCCCGGAGGCGTGCGAAGAAGCGCTTCTTTCCGCACTTCTTTCCTTTCGTGCCGCCTCCTTCTCGATGTCGGCCAGCTTGTGTAGGTTCACCAGGCGCTTGGCCCGCTCGTAGGACAGGGACCCCACGACGGACTTCGCGAACTCCAACATGGAGGCCCGGGCGCTGTCGTGGTAAGCATGGAAGACCTGGTGGGACGAGTGGTGCTCCTGGCCGTGGCGGGCGTACTTCTCGATGAAGCTGTAGTCCTGCGTGTCGGCCATGAACCTCGGCTACCAAGCGCAGGATATACATCAAAAGGCCCGCCGCTGCACCTCAACCATCGCATGTCAGCCTTCTTAGAGTGGCTACTCTTCAGCGGCTACGCTCACGACTAGACTCCGGAATCAGCTACACGACTTGGCAACATTGCTCAAGATGTGCTCAACGTTGCTTTCAGGTCCAAGGAGCCGCTGAACCCGCTGCTCCAGGTGGAAGCGGAGCTTGATGTCCGAGCGCAGGAGCCCCGCGTGCTTGGTCTCCAGGAGCGCCAGGGCATGCTTGTGGTGCTGCAAGTAGATGTCCCAAAAGTTGGTGTGGTCACAGCCCAGCTTCTGGCACACGGGATGCCAGGCCTGCTGCAGCTTGTCGATGGTCTCGTCCAGGGAAGCGTTCACGGCGTGGCTGTTCATGATCTGGTGGCTGGCGGCGGCCGCCGCTTTAAGGTCCAAGGCCATGCTCATGGTGGCCGCGTGCTCTGTGCCCACCATAGAGGTGAGTTGCCGCAGCGACGTCTCACGCGAGGTCTTTGCATCGAACTGCAAGAAGGCGTGGTCGTGCTCTGAGCCGTCACAGATGTAGGCCTCGGGAAGGAGTGCGTCCACAGCGAGGCTGTTGCCACCCTCCTCGTGGAGCAAGGCATCTCGGAGCAGCGGCCACGTGATCTCTTCGAACCGGGTCACCTGCTCCAGGATCATTGCGTAGACCTCCATGCTCACATGGGCGGGCACGGCGGCTTGAACGATGCAGGACGCGGCCACGATGCAGGCCATGTAGGTCCGAAGATCCTCAGGGACGCAAGGACTAGGACCCTCGGACGCGGCGGCCATGAAGTCACCGAGGACCGCATAGAAGCCCGCAGCGCAGTCCATGACAAACGGCAGGTCATGTTGGTAGTCGCTGGCATGGAAGCTGACATTCGTTGCGAGACTACCATCACGAATGAGTCCGGTGCAATTCGTCATGTTGATGATCAGCAGGGGCAAGGCCACGGTCAACTCCTGCACGGTTTGAATCTGCGATGCTGGGAGCTCACGCCGCTGGCGAACCTTGTACGCCAGGCATGGACACAACCACAGCGAGCCGAGCAAGCCCAAGAAGCCGAGCTTCATGAAACGGAGCTTCATTGAAATGCGAAGATACTCCAAAGACTTTCAAGTCGAAGGCAGGCAATCCTGAACCCTACTTGAGCCTGAACGATCGAACGCAGAACAGCAGAACAGCCACGGCAAGCACCCGAAGCGAAGAAGCGGCCAGGAAGCATGTGCCGAGAGCCTAAGCATGCCCATGCGCGTAGTCCCAAGTCGCAGGGGAGATCAGGCATGCTTCGAACATGCGATGCTCTCGCCTGCTTTGCGGAAGAGGTTCGCTCGGCGGCGTCGACACCCGTGGCCCCTTTGCATACTCATGACGCAGAGCACAGGTGCTCTTTACAGACATCCCTCTAACATCTCGGACAGAATACCCCGCTGTCGCTCTAAAGCTACGCAACCTTAGAAATTTCGGGGCGGGTAAAAAAGCAGCGAAACCCCCAAGCCTGGGGCCTGACATTCTAAGGACCTGCTGGAGTTCAGGGCGATTTGACTTCTGCCGTTGCTGCCTTTGCGATGGACGATGAAACTACCTCCTGATCAAGATCTGAGAAAGGCCAATTGAGCGCAGGAGCAGAGGATTCCTGGTAATTCCACCGGTTGGCAGTGCTCTGTGTCTTTCCGTTGGTTATTGCAACGCGATGACCTGTTCTCACCGCTGAGAAATACCCAGTAAAGAGGCTCCTCGTTTAAAAGAATACAACACCGAAGACCCCAAACAGTCGAAGGCAAAAGAAAAAAGCTTGATAGCAAAACAAGACCTAATGGCAAAGGACACCGAGAGCCAAGAGAGATAGACCACCATGAGCAGGGAAGCATTGAGGCATTCAGCGCAAAACTAAACCACGGGCCAACCACCCTTAGGCAGGAACCACCAGATTGAGCCCTGCGCGTGCGAGACCAGGCCAGCCAGCCAGATTGAGCTACCGGACGGATCGACCGGCGAGCCACCGAGCCACGAAATTGAGCCACTGGAAAGGTGAGACATGAAGACCAAGCCAGCGAGCCACCTGAGCCAACAGCTGCCAGACGTCGAGCCATCGAGAGAGTTAAATCTACCGGACAGGCGCAACTGAGACATCGTAAGCCACCATATTGGCAGCCGAGCCACGAAATTCGCCACACCGAGTTACCAGATCGTTGCACGCACGTCGTTTTTTCAGCTGCACAGAGAAACACAGACATGAATCGGCCAAGCTGATTTGGATCCAAGAAAGAAGTGCGCTTCAAAAAGCAAAATGCATTCGTGTCCCCAAAATCATCGCCGATTCAGGACACATTACAAGTTCTCAGTTGTGTGCATTTAGGGATCTTTACAACAGCGGGGATGTTCCTGCTTTGGTCTATAAGAAGCTCAGTAGGCCCCACTTTCTTCAACAAGATGTTCACTGTCTTGAATATTTCACACACCTTGACAGTGAGAAGAAGGAAGGGAAAAAGCTTGCTGTATTGCTCACCCTCGATAAGAAAAGAGAACCAAACGGGGCTAAAATCAATCATTTCATGGATCAGGGGTGGTAAAAAGAATCGGAGCCATTGCACTTTACGTTGAAGGCACTGTTGGAATCCTTGACCAGCAAACCAACCACCTTATCAACGCACATGGCGCTATTAAGCTGCCTATGAAATCACCAATTTCTGCGCTCACTATAAAGAAGCAATTGTTCAAGCACTTCAAAGTAATCGCATCCTCAACAAGCATTCGATGATCAATGACTTTCACACCCACAGCCTTGGGATCATCACTGCACCTACCAAACTTTAACGCGCAGTTGCAGAGTTACATCAGAATGGCCTCAATGTTCCCACTTCCTTGCAAGAAAATGAAGCATACCCCGCAGGCTGGGGTTAGGGTCCAACTCGGTTAACCCGGACCCTAACGTGGTATTAGGGTTCGAATTCGACCCGAACCCCAACGTGAGTTAGGGTTCAGGTTAACGGATAGCCAGAACCCCAACCCCTTGTTAGGGTTGGGTTCACCCTAACCGTAAGCTGGGTCAGGGTTGGGGTGAGGGTTGGGCTAACCCCAACCCCAGCCCTGCCTGGGGTTAGGGTTGGGGTTAACCCTAACCCTAACCCCAACTCCTTTCCCTTCCCTGACCCTCACTCCTTTCTTCAGCTTTTCCATTCTATATGGGGAGAGGGGTGGGCTGGCAACAACAAGCAAATGGGAGGGGGACTGCGCCCCCCCCAACCCCCCCCGCCATGACAGGGGTGAAATTTAAACTCCTTCTCCTGAACGCAAGAAACAAAAAAAACAGAAACAAGGGGGATGGAATTTAGTCCAATTCTACTTCTCCAATGATTTCCGAAGAATGAGCACAAGAAAACAAAAACAAGAAACGAGGGGGTGGAATTTAGATGAATTCTCGACTTTCGAAGACTTTCTCTACGTATTCTCTGCTAATTCTCTACTCCTCTAATTTTCGAAGAATGAACACAAGAAACAAGAAACGACAAACGAAGGGATACTCACTCTCTACTTCTCTGATTCTCGAAGAATGAGCACAAAGAAATACAAGAAACGAATGGGGGTGGAATTTAAATGAATTCTATACTCCTCTGATTGTCAAATAACTTCTCTACTTATTCTCTGCTCTCGAGTGTAAATACAAGAAGCAAAAACCAAGAAACGAGGGGGGTGGAATTTAGACTAACTCTCTACTTCTTCGACTTCTTCTTGGCTTTTCGAACAATGAACACAAGAAACAAACCAAGAAACGAGGGAGGGTGGAATTCAGACAAATTTCTCTACTCCTTTTATTTTCGAAAAATGAACACAAGAAACAAAAGAGACTAGGGGGATACCTTTTCTACTTTATTTCTCTTATTTTCGAATAATGAACACAAGGAATTTGGATGAATTCTCTTCTTCTCTGATTTTCAACAACTTCTCTGCAGATTATCGTTTTCGAATAGAAATACAAGAAACAAAAAAACGAGGGGGTGGAATTTAGACTAAGTCTTCTCTGCCGCGGGCTGGTTGAGGGTTAGGGTTGCCAACCCTAACCCAGGTTAAGGTTCGGGTTAACCCAACTCTAACCTCAGGTTTAGATTGAAGTTAACCTGAACTCTAAGTTGGAGCTGGGTTTAACGGAGCTCCGAACAAAAAGTTCGAAAGTTCGAGTTAACTCCAACTTCTATCTCCGAGTTTGGTTGAACTCAACTCTAACCTGGGTTGAAGATCGACTAGCTACAACCTGGGTGCAGAAAAACTGTAACAAAGTTGAACTCCAACCCTCAACCTGACCTGATGGGGATGAGAAAGCATTAAGGTTATTCTCAGTCAGTCTACCCAAAGGTCCGACGCCATTGTTTGGTTTATCGACGCGCTTGATGTTCTACAATAAGCTGACTTGACATTCAAACGTTGAGGAATCGGTCCCTGATTTGCGGAAAATCATTGAGGCGCAGAATGTGAAGGTACAAGTTCGGCAAGTCAACCTTTCAACTTTCTGCGTGCGCGATGTCCGAATGTGCAAGAACAAGCTAAAACATTCACTTGAGCATCATGCTTTTTTGAGATGGTCGCCTCTTTACTGCGTCAGCAGCCCAGTAGGCCAATCTTGTGTGGACAATCCACTCAGGGTGGGACAGACATCTACTTAGAGAATCCAATTGTACAAGCTAGCGAGTGTAAAAGAAGTCGTGACTACAAAGAAGCAACCGCTAGCGCAGAGGCCCTTATTGCAAGACAACTTAACGCCCGGCCAGCATGGTGAGACCAATGCAAACCAGAACCTACCTGCACCACTCACTCAGCAGCCCGTCACCCAAAGCAATGCTGCGCCACGTCTGGCACAGGCATTAAGCGAAAGTATGGGAAGGCCGTAAGGCAAGGAACCTCCGCCACCTAAACTGCTCAACGCGTCCGTAGAGACAGTCCCCACACAAGCGCCAGGGCCGTAGCAATAGCACTCAGTACACCTTCTTGCAGTTAAGTTGACAAGTAAGTGTGAATGCGCACTGAACGGCCAGAGAGTTGAGACCAAAGACTTGTTTTGCCACACAGTAGCAGTACAGCCCACACAGCACGCGGATGCGTGCTGTGAGGGCGGAGACCTCGCTGCGTTAACGCGCAAGGCACTTCCTTGGCGTTCTCGCTCTTACTGACCCAGGAAAGCGCGCAATAAGCAACCTCAGCGCAGTCGCTGTGTTCCTGGCTGCAAAGTTAAGCAGAGGGAGGCTTAAGGGGGCTTGAGGGAGGCTTAAGGGGGACTTAAGGGGGTGCTTAAGGGGGCTTCAGGGGGAACTTAAGGGCTTAAAGGGGGGCTTTGAGGGGGACTTCAAGGGGGTTTAAAGGGGGGCTTGAAGGGGGCTTAAGGGGACTTCAAGGGGGCTTCAAGGGGGGCTGAAAGGGGGGGGCTTCAAGGAGGCTTTGAAGGGGGCTTGAAGGGGGCTTAAAGGTAAGGGAGGGGACTTAAAGGGGCTTAAAAGGGGGCTAGAGAGGCTTAAGGGGGAGGGCTTAAGGGGCCTGAAAAAAGGTTTAAGGGCGTGAACATTACTTTATCTTGAAGATGAGAGAAAAGGGATTTATTCTAAATTCCACGCCCTCGAATCTTTTTTTGTTTTTTGTTCTTCGAAACTGGAGAAGTGAAACTCTAACTTCCATTTGAAAAGAGAGAGACCACCTCGAATCTTGTTATATTTTTGTGTGCTATCGAAAAAATCGGGGCAGTAAGGGTATTGGGGAGCAAGTGTGCCACTGAAAAACTTTTGAATCCGTAAAGACGCCTGCA